GCAAAAGCCCTTGAGGTCCACGATATAGGGGTGGCCTCGGGCGCGCCTCATGGCCGCCACTTCCACGTGGGTGGATGGGTGGGCTTCCACGCCGTTGACCCGCTTGGCGAAGGTCTTGACCGCTCTGGTCTCCCCACTGGCCTTGTCGACGGCCTCGAAGACATCGCCGTATGCGCCGCGGCCGAGGAGCTTCTTCACCTCAAACATCTCATGCAAGGGGGAGCGAGGGGGCGGGGGAGGGTATCGGGGAGGCGGAGGGGGAGAGGGGGCGAGGGATGGGGTCATGCCGGCGTGTGCCATGCCCGGGGGACCGGGTGGCGCCTGCATGCAGGCCGCAACCTGAGAACACATCAAAGATGCATCCTTCAACTGTGATATCATCATCGGTGCGTTTTGCACTATTCAATTGGCACTGTTCCTGCCTTGTGAGCGTGAGTTGTGATGGCCAGGCTGTCATCCTTTACCTGCGGATGCGCAGCGATGCGCCCTTTTGAAGGTTCTTGCTCTTCTCCCCGGCTCTTGGGGCTCCTCGGTGCAGACGGCAACCTTGCCGAATTGATCTGTTGACGGCGACTTCGGCTCTCTCTTGCTCGTGGTGTCTTTAAACGACGGCCGAAAGAAGCCGCTCCACTGCAAAACTCAGGAAGGGGTCAATCCTGCGAGCTCAGAAGCTCGTTCAGCTCCTTCTGTCGTGAGGATTCTCTTTGTTGTGTCATTTGCACTGAATTTTCCCCTGTTCCTCCCCTCCCCGTTGCGTGGTGTAGACTGTGGACCGTCACGTGGGTATGGCGCACGTCACGGCGCCTGTTGTATCGCCGGTTGCCGTGTCGACAATGCTGCCTGTGTGTACATGGACGTCCATTCAATTAGTGGGACCGGATGTGATGTGATGAGTCTGAGCATGGCATGGTATGCATGTCGGTTTGTGCAAAAAGGCAGTGTCCACCCGACCAGCACCACCCTCACATCCATATGATGATGGTAGTGTACGCGCCCACACACCCACCCACGCACCCCGGTGGCATCCACTCACAACAGACTGACAGCCAGACGGACGGGTCATGCAGCCAAAAATGCACCACCGCCGCATTGCATTGCGTTGTCTGTCAACCAGCTTATGTTCACGACCACACACTCAATAGGTAGATAGATACACACAGATGTGGCACGTACAGCAAGGGATGACTCACCCACCATCGACCCCCCTGCCTCCGCCCGTACACGCGTGAAGGCTGCCAGGCAGCGACCCCGACGTACCCTTCGGATCGTCGAAGGGTGCAACGACGTCACAGCAAGACACACTACACGGGTTACACGTGAAGGCAGCAGGGGTAATTTCACTCACCACACGTGATACAACAGCACCAGTCATCAGTCAGTTCACCTCACACACTCCCCTCCCCTCTAGCTGGTGGTCCATCCGCGTGTGGCGTGTCGCCTTCCTTCCTCACTGCTTGTCTGCCCGCCTCGCCGTGCAGCAAAAGGCGTGTGCACTGCACATGTCTCACTCACTCCAGCGGCAATGTTGTGACGTGTCATCTCACCACAGCCTCCCACGCGCACGTGCGGCGCCAGTTTTCCCTGGCGGCACGTGAGCGTAGGAAGACGGACTGCGATGACACGTAATAACAAAGCACGCGGCCCACACACACATCTTCGCTGCCTCCATCCATCCATCCATCCAGTCTTTCAACAGCCAACCGGGATAAAAATCTGCAGACACCGCCGAAGGCAGCCTGCCTGCTTGAAACAGACACACGCACACGTGCAGAGAGACAAGCCAGACAGGCAGGAAGGCAGACAGGGATGTTGGGCACATACGTATGAAGGCGGACATCCCAGCCTCACTCAGGCCGATCTCGCACAAGCAGACAGTAAGTACCAAAAGAAAACAGCCCGACCATCCACCCAACACCCCAGGCCCTGGAAAAGAACCCTTGAGCAAAAGTAAGTTGCAGTGAGTGAAAGCCAGAGAGCCAGATCAGTCAGTCGCCGTTATCCATTCCGTACGCACGTACATTCGCACCTCCTAATCTTACGCAACAACCATCCAGTCTCTTCTGCACACCCGAGCAAAATCGGCCCACGGTATTTACAGCACAACCACAGCCATCACGCCCACCCAAAGCCGCACACACACACATACACACACACACACACACGTCTCGATAGGCCGCATCGCATTGAACGCAATGCGGGGCGCATCGAGAAAAAGCACAAGATGCGACCGCACCAGCGCACCCACCAACACGCACACGCATGCACAGAGAGAGAGAGAGGCCGGTCTACTCAGTAGACTTCTAGGATGTAGTGTCCTTGGTCCTTGAGCTCTTTGAGCTTGTCGCCCGCGCCCTCACTGCCCATCCCGCCGTACTGCACGAAGGCCCCCTCGATGGCCTGGCGGACGTCCTCGGCCGGCCAGGTGGGCCCGCAGAGGTAGAAGTGGCCGTTCCTGTTGCAGAGGTAGTCGTTGAGCATCTCTCCGTCCTGCGCCATGAGGTGCTGGATGTACACCTTGTGCTTCTGGTCGCGCGAGAAGGCCAGCCGGAGGGAGGTGACGAGGCCCTCCTTCTCGTAGGCCTCCAGCTCCTCGCCGTAGAGGAACTCCTTGGACCGGTAGCGCGAGCCGAAGTAGAGCACCACCGGGCCGACCTTCACGCCCTTGCGATGCCAGTACGCCTTCTCCTCAATGAAGGCTCGGAAGGGGGCCATGCCTGTGCCCAGACCTGCACAGACAGACACAAGGGAGCAACAGACGTCATTCATCTATGTGATGTGCATGTGCTGGTGTGAGAGAGGGAGGCGGGGGGAGGGGGAGGGGGAGGGGGAGGGTACGTACCGGCCATGATGATGGGCTCTTCCTGGTTCTTGGGGAGGTGCATGAGGGAGTCGGTGAGGGATGCTGCCACCTGGTCGCCAACCTTGAGCTCACTCAAATAATTCGAGCACAAACCAGCCCTGACAGATCAGATCGACCACACACCACACCACAGCACACCACAAAATGCATGTCGCGTGCATCAATCCCATTTGCCGACCCGACCACCCAGCCGCCCATATATATATATTTACCTGTGCTCGTTGTCGGCAGTGTCCCATGTCTCCTCGACCACGAGCAGGTGAACGCTATCGGGGTGCATGAGGCTGGACGACGCTATCGAGTACAAACGAGACTTGATGGGCGGAATCATCCTACAGATGTCACACACGTACACAAGACAGACGCCACAATACACCGACCGATGCACACATCAACAGATACATGGATGCTCCCTCCCTCCTTTCCTCCCTCCACCACCGACTCACTTGGCGAGTTCCCTGAGTGGTGGTCTGGCGCTGGGGAACTCCTTGAGTATGGAGAAGTAGGTGACGCCCCTCTCGACCCGCTTCTGGAAGTCGTCCTTCTTCCTGTCGAGGGTGTACTCGGCCAGCGCCACCTTCTCCTCGACGTCCGTGGCAAACGGGTACAGCAGCTGGTAGAACCGACGAGTGGGCCGCCCGAACACGTCCAAGATCTGCGTGAGCAGCCGCTCGACCGTCGTCAGCGCCGTCACGCCCTCGCCCAACTCAAACACACCTGCACAGCACACAGGGGAGGGGGGAGAGTCCGTGTGTGGGTGTGGGAGGGGAGGGGGGAGGGGATGCCCACTCAACTAAGGTTGAGTGACATACCGTCTAGCGAGATGACTTGTTTGGGGTCTAGGTCATAGAAGTCAATGAACTCGCTGACCAGCTCGCGGCGGTTCAGCGGATACACAGCCAACGCATCACCCTGATTGATCGACACACAACAAAACACACGAGTGACCATCCCATCAATCACACTCCCTCCCTCCCTCCCTCCCTCCCGTCCGTGTGTCTCTCTCTCGGCATTGCATTCCTTCTCACCATCTTGTAGTGCCTGACGTGTTTGGTTTTGCTTGTGTCGAATTCCATGTGGAAGACGTTCCTGTCGTAGTCGTCAGGCGTCAGCCGCTGGTTCTTGGTGACCGTGATGAGCTCCACGTCGGGCATGTCGGGACGCACCAAAAACTGCGGCTGATAGTAGTCCGCGAACGCCATGAACTTGGCAGCCGACGACTCAGTCTGAACGAGCGAATGAACGCACGAGTGAGCGACAGATGGATGGCTGGATGGATGAATGTGGGTGGACGAAATGGGTGTGTAGTGTACCTGGAACTTATCGAGGAGGTTGAAGGCGAATCGCATGGCGGGGAAGGGGGACGGCATCATGGCCTCGCGTCTGTGGAGCTTCTCTACCTTGTGGGCCAGCCGCCTGTCCTTGATGGCCGGCTGCTTCTTCAGGTGCGCCAGCGCCTTGGACGGCAGCCTCTTGCGCAATGTGAACAGCTCACAACGCAGACTTGATGCTGGGGGAACACAGACAGAAACAAAGCGGAATGTGTGTGAGTGGATCGCGGGTGTGTCGTTTGTCTCTCTCACCGATGGCCCCCGCGCCAGTGGCGGCATCACGCAGCTTCGCCCGCTCCTCAGCCCCCTGCACACAGCATCACAGACACACAGAGATCAGATCAGCCAACAGTCACCCCCTTGCCCGCCCGACACGTATCCATCCATCCGCACCCACCTTGTTATAGTTGGTGTTGGTGTTGAGGTCGAATGCGAGTGGGGTTCCGTCCTGCGCCTCGATGAACTCGACGGCGCAGACGTCGATGTCCCGCTGCCGCATGAGGTCCAGGATCTTGGGGATGATCGGGTGGTCGAACTCGGGACACACCACAAACTGAGACGAAAACTCAGACTGATCAACCAAGAGACAGACAGACAGACACACACAGAGGGAGAGGTGAGGTGTGGTGTGGTGTGGTGTGGTGGATGGTGTCTGGTGTGCGCATCTCATCTCATATACCTCGGCTTCGACCTCGTCAGGGTCCTGCACGTTGGATTCGGGGTGGATCTTGGCGGCCGGGCAAAAGTCAAACGAATTCTTGCGCGTCGGGTGCTGACCTGCATCGCGTCAGCCAGCCAACCCAACAGGTGAGTGGGGTTCGTGGTTCTGTTTCTGCCACTTGTATGAGGTTTGCGTGCGTACCGGTTTGGACTTTGAGTGCGTAGAGGAACTGTTTGCCGACGAACTCGAGCCTGTAGTAGTGCTGGGCCTCGATGAACTGCTGCAGCAGCATGATGCCGTCCACACTCATCTCGAACTCGCCGCTCTGCAAGTACTCAGACACCTCCTTGGCACTGCTGAACAAACGCACACCTGATGCGATGCGCACAAACAACACACATCCGTGATCTACGTTTGTACCAGACCCATCCATAACACGTGTGAGGGTGAGTGAGTTGGTACCGATGCCGCTGCCGGATCTGTTGGGCTTCAGGATGAAGGGCCCTTGCCTCTCGAGCTTCTTGGCCACCTCTGCACATGACATGGCACACGCGCACACACACAGACCGTGACGCACATCCCATCCCCCGCACCGCGCCGCACCCAAACGCCCACTATCCCACGTCGACTCGACTTACCGAGGATTTGGTTCTCCCCGAAAGCGGCGATGGTGTATGGTGTGGGTATGCCGACGCTCTGGAAGGCGGCCCACTGAGCCATCTTGCTGACCTCGAGGGCGAGTGCCTGTGGGCCGTTGAGGACGGGCCGGCCGTGAGCGGTGAGCCATCCGAGGATGGCGGAGGTGTACTCACACGAATAGCGATGCCCGCGGTACTGAGACGACGCCGACATCCGGTTGTAAAACACACCTGACGCATCGACGTGTAAGTGGGGAGGGAGGGGAACACGCAAGCAGAGCAAGTGAAGTGATGGAAATATTAGCCGATATATGTGATGCCATCTCATCTGTGTTGGTTGTCATCATGTCCCTTCGTCCTTACCTAGAGGCGGTTCTTTGGTGAGGTCGATGGGTCCCAGGTCGGACTTCTCGGGCGAGAAGTCCCACTCGTACACAGGCTCCTCCGTCTTGTACAACGCCTCACGCAACGGCTCCTGCACGACGTACCACACACACACACACGCACACACACACACACCATTGTCGGTTGGAGACATCACATCAACGCGGCCATTGATGTGTATCCCTCCCTCTGTGTCTCCCTCGAGCGTGTGTGTGATGTGGGTGTGGCGGCGTACCATCCAGTCGGCATTTTCGTGCAGCACGTAGATGGCGGGCTGGAACTGACCCTCCGGCGAGAAGCTCATCGTCGCCGGCACAGCTGAAGTCTTTCTCATACAGGCGGCACCGAACCGGCTAGCTACTGATGAGGGGAACCCAAGCAACACCAAGGACGAGCAGATGTGGGGCGCTCTCTCTCAATCAGACACACAAGAACGAGCGACTGGGCAGCTGGCGACGGCGACGCGCGCTGGACACAAGCAGATGCCACGTAGCCTCTGTGGCTATGGATGAAGCCTGCCGATGTGCTGCGGAGCTCTGGATGTGCCAGCCGTGCTCTTCCCGCCGCGTCTTGTGCGAAAGGAATCCTCCTCAATCACTGGACTTGCGAGCTTTTTTTCGAGACCTGCTCCTTTCCTCCGGTGCAGCCTCTTCCGCTCTCTCGTGGATGTATTAGGGCATCGCAGAGCAGCCATGAGTCACGGCAACGCGGTGGCGTCTCTGAAGCGGCTCTTCGACTCGTCGAAGCTCCGCACCTACAGCGGCCGAGTGTCGGCATCGGTGCTGGGCAAGGCCACGTCCAAGCACGTCCACTGGGCAGTCATCAGCCGCTCGGAAGATGCGGCCCTCTCGTCGGTGCAGGCCGTCGCCTCGGCCAAGGACACCACCTTCAATGTGCTCATCACCGACAACCTGGCGTCCTATCGGCAGGACCTCGCGCTCCTCGCCATGGAGTACGGCACCGCATTCGTCGCTGCCGTCGCCTCAGACGCTACCGACTTGCAGATGACACGCGCACTCACCCAGGCGGCCGACTACGACGGGCCGTCCATCGTGCTGGTCGGGGGTGACGTGAGCTTCCGGTGGGACCCCTCTGCTGAGGCGGCGGGCCGCGACCCGTTCTGCGTGGATGCGGGCAGCCTGCCTGAGGGGATGTCCAAGTTCCTGGAGCGCGAGTCGCAGCTCAACCTGCTCATCAGGGCGCACCCTGATCTCAAGGACAAGTACGTCCAGAAGCTGCCCGCCGGCCACCCACTGCTCGAGGCCTCACTGGCCAAGCTGCGGGGTGGCCTGGCCGAGGCGCAGAAGGTGCCGCTGCTGATCGTGTATGGGTCGGACGGTGGCAACGCCGAGGGGCTGGCCAAGCGACTGGCCAAGGAGGCCAAGGCGAGGGGGGCGGACAACAGGTGTGTGCCGATGGACACGGTGGAGCCGCCGCAGCTCAAGGGCGAGAAGAACGTGGTGGCGGTCGTGTGCACGGCTGGGCAGGGGGAGTTCCCGGGCAACGCCAAGAAGCTCTGGACGGGGCTGTGCGAGACCGAGCCGGGCTTCACGCTCGATGGGGTTAGCTTCGCCGTATTCGCACTCGGAGACAGGCACTACTGGTGAGCGAGGCACAGCACACCACACTGTGGAGATGGGTGGGCTGGCGGGCTGGTGGATTCTGAGGAGGTATCGTTTTTGGTGTGGGTGTGTGTGGTGCACTGCAGGCCGGACCCTCAGTATTTCTGCAAGGCGGGTCGTGATTTGGATAGTCGTTTGGAGCACCTGGGCGCACACCGACTGCTGCCATGCGGCATCGGAGACGACCAGGTCAGTGACCTGCGTGACTTGCTGACCTGACGGCACACACACACCCGTGACACTCTGTGTGTGTGGGTGGGTGGGTGGGTGTGGGTGTGGGTGTGTGTGCAGGACACTGACAAGTACGAGGACGGTTGGGGCAAGTGGGAGCCTGAGTTCTGGAAGACACTCGGACTCGACAGAGTCGGCGCCGTCGAACAGGAGGTGAGGTACACACCACTAAAGCAGTGAAGACACTCGTGGCAATGCACCGGTGTGCCTTGGCTGTTTGCTTGTCTGTGTGTGTGTGTGTGTGCAGGAGGCGGTTGACACGAGGCACCCGACTGACGAGGAGATCAAGATCGCCAGCCGCTACCTGCGGGGCTCCCTCAAGGACACCCTCGACGACGTCTCCACTGGCTGCATCCCATACGAAGACACAAAAGTCATCAAATTCCACGGTCAGTCATCCACACAACATTCCGACCAGACGCACGCACACACGATTATGATTGTGTGTGTGTGTGTGTGTGTGTGTATGTTGACGGACTTGACGGACCGGACCGTCAGGCATCTACCAGCAGGACCACCGGGAGATGCGCAGCGAACGTGCCAAGCTGGGCATTGAGAAGGCCTTCTCCTTCATGGCGCGAGTCAGGCTGCCAGGCGGACTCTGCGAACCACACCAGTGGCTGGTACGTTCCAGACGCCACACACGCACCTCCACGATGTGTGGATGGGATTGGTGTCGGCTTCTCCTGTGGTGTGCGCATGTCATGTGTGCTGCAGGCGATGGATGAGTTGTCATCGCAGTACGGCAACGAGACGCTCAAGGTGACGACCCGTCAGACGTTCCAGCTGCACGGCATCATCAAGCGCAACCTCAAGACGGTCGTGCGGGGCATGGCCAAGGCCTGCATGGACTGCATCGCCGCCTGCGGAGATGTCAACCGCAACGTCATCTGCACCAGCACACCCGGCGTCTGCCCCGCACACACATACTACCAGATCCAGGCCATCAGCAAGGAACTCTCGGAATTCGTGCTGCCGAGGTACGCAGAGAGGCAGAGATGCAGAGAGGGGAGGGAGAGAGGGATGGAGAGAGGGGCTTGGCTTCGGCACACTCACGCACACGGCTGTCTGGTGTTTGGTTGGGCTTGGTTGTGTTGTGTCAGGACGAGTGCGTACTACGAGATATTCTTGGACGAGGGCGGCGGTGAGGGCCTGCCGAGCAAGCTGGTGGCGGCCAACACGCCCGTCGAGGAGGAGCCCCTGTACGGCAAGACATACCTCCCACGCAAATTCAAAGTCGCCGTTGCCATACCGCCTGTAAACGACGTCGGTGAGTACGGACGGACGGACATGTGTGCGCTGCGCGTTGGATGCGATGCATGTGGTCCTACCCAATCCATCGTATGTATCTTTGGGTCTGTCTCCTGCTGTGCCTTCCTTTGGTGTGTTTGGTGTGTGTCGTGTCAGATGTGTTTGCACACTGCGTAGGCTTCATCGCAATTATAGAGAAGGGCGAGTTGCAGGTGAGATGCGCACGATACGATGGCTCTTCCAGCACCGAACGAACGAAGAGATAGATCTACATCGATGGATCCATCCCCATGGCATGCATTCGTTTCGTTTTACCGTTTTTGGTCGCATCGCATCGCCTCAGGGGTTCACGGTGACGGTGGGTGGCGGTATGGGTGCGACCAACAACGACCCGGCCACCTTCCCCCGGACGGCCGACGTCATGGGCTTCTGCAAACCCGACGACGCCAAACACGTACTGGCCGCCATCATGGCCGTGCAGAGGGACCACGGTGACAGAACCAACAGGTGTGGTGTGGTGTGGTGTGCGGTGCGACCACATGGGGAGGGGTAGAGAGAGACCGCGCCAGACTCATTCATCGCATCCATCGCGTGTGTGCGTGTGCGTGTGAATTAATTCAGGAAGCATGCGCGTCTCAAGTACACGGTTGACGACCACGGCGTCGACTGGTTCCGCACACAAGTGGAGAAGGAGCTCGGAAGGAAACTCGAGAAGGCCAGGTAGGGTACACTCGTTGATGACCACCACCTGAAGAAGATGCCTACCTTTGTGTGTGTCTGCATTGCAGGCCGTTTTCGTTCAAGACTCGTGGCGACTCGTACGGTTGGGCCAAGACGGACGACGGCAAGTGGCACTACACCATGTTCATCGAGCACGGCCGGGTGGTCGACCTGCCCGACTACAAGCTCAAGACGGCCATCCGCCACCTGGCATCCGTCCACAAGGGCAACTTCAGGCTGACTTGCAACCAGAACCTCACCATCAGCAACATCAGCGACGCCGACAAGGGCGCCATCAAGGCGCTCCTGGACATGTACGGGGTCGACAACTCCAGGTGAGTGGGTGGGCGATGATCAGACAGACAGACAAGGTTTCTCTCTCTGTATGTGACTGTGCGCTGTCGTCCTCACCTCCCATGCAGGCACTCGGCTCTTCGGCTCAATTCGGTAGCGTGTGTGGCCCTGCCGACCTGCCCACTGGCGTTTGCTGAGGCAGAGAGGTGAAAGAGGGAGGAGGGAGGGGCGAGGGAGAAACAGGCAACAAGGAAGAACACAATAGATCTGTGCGTATGTGTTGTGTGTGAAGGTATCTGCCTGATTTGGTGACCAAGCTGGACAGCGTGATGGACGAGTGCGGCCTGCACCAGGACGAGATCACCATCAGGATGACAGGATGCCCCAACGGATGCGCTAGGTCAGCCTGCCTGCCTGCCATGACACATCCACACACACAGAGCGCCAGGCCGCCACGGCATACGTGTGTTGTCATCTGACGATGTGCAGGCCGTATCTGGCGGAGATAGCGTTTGTGGGCCGCAGTCCAGGATACTACAACCTGCTGCTGGGCGGTGATTTCGAGGGCCACCGGCTCAACAAGGTCTACAGGGAGGGCGTCAACGAGGAAGAAATCCTGCAGCTTCTCACACCCATCCTCAAGTACGTTACCCAACCACACACAACACAACACACGAGAGACCCCAAACACCTATGGACGTGTGTGCCAATCAAAAATTTGTGTCAGGACGTATGCGAAGGATCGCACCAAGGGCGAGAGTTTCGGCGACTTTGTGATGCGGTGGAAGAGCCTCTGGGAGACCGCGAGCGGCTCCACCCCCGTCCCACCCACCCCCACACCCAACGGCACACACATGGCCAACGGCAGCGCAGCCACGCCTGTCTCGGTCTCGGCCTGATCGACACGACATGAGCCGGCCAGACAGCCGCCCTCTTAGGTGCCTCGCTCGCTGCCTCTGGGTAATTTTTTGCCCGCTGGTTGCACAGGCGGGCATTCCGTAATGCGGTTGGAGAGAGATGATTGAGTTGTGCGTGGAGAGATACACTTTCTGATGTCAGTCACTTGATGGGATGGATGAATGGATGGATAGGTGGGGTGGGTGTACAGCCAGCGGCAGCTTACATGCACGCCAGCCAGCCCAGCCACTGTATGTATCATGACGAGAGAGGGCTTCACTTGGCCTGCATTCAGACATGCATGGGTGTGTCGTGTCGTGTGTCGTGTGTCGAGTGTGTGCGCCCTCTGTCATGCGTGCGTACGAACGTAGGCGAACACATGCGCACGGGTGACTGCTGCCATGCTTGGTACCCGGCCCGGGTGACTGACGGCGGGGGTCGGTGTGGCGTGGTGTGCGCTGCGGCTCGTGTGTGTGTGTTTTGTCCACTTTCTCACACATGCAATCACTCACCCACTCACTCGATGCCTGCCGACTTTTTTGAACCATGCAACTACACGGACGGACGGATGGATGGATATGTCATGATTGTGGTTGGTCCCAGCCGTGTCTGTTCACCATGTCTGCATGGCTCAGCCATCCAGACAGGCAGAAAGGCACGCACAAGATGGGATACCGGCGGGCAGTGGAGTCGGGTGCCCATGTGGGTGCGCTTTGGGCTTGTTTTGATGGGTGGACTGGGAGTAAGGCCCTCGCGCGTACCACTGCCATACACATGCATGTGTGCAGGTGATCGATGGTGTAGAATGCGCTGTGCATGTGTATTCATAGCTGGACTGGACGCATGAATGAATGAATGGATGGATGGTGGTGACTTTATTCATCTCAACGTGAGTGAGTGACCCGTGCTTCCAGACAGGCGCAAGCTCAAAACTTTCGAAACCAAATATCTGCGCTTTCCTCGTCTTCTTGCGTTCCCAGAAGGCTCTTCGGGTCAATTTGAGTGCAGCCCTTGTCGTCATTTGCCAATCATTCGCTCCTTTCCCATCGGATTTTTCGCCCCCAGCCGGGTCTCGTCACACGTCTCACTCGTTGTCTCAGCCAACTGGACGTGAGTGACGCCTTCCAAGGTTGAACGGTAGCCCCCCATCAGCCCCTCCCCAGCCCTCCCCTTCCCCAAATTGCTCACACACGATGGATGGCCGCGGGCCCTTCAGACTTCGGAATGAATCCGGCGTCATCTGCCATTTCAACAGCCTTATCTTCAGCCTCTACAACTGCAATCCATTGCGGTCATTTCTGCTTGCCAGGTTGGTGTTGATGAACAAGAGAAGGGCTGCACAATGCACGGGGCTCTGCATAAGAGAGAGACTCTGAGAGAGAGCCATCGCATGGCATGCCCCTCGCTTCATCCAATTGCAATTGCAATTTGTGCTCATGTCTGTCGGCGTGCAGGCGCAACGTTGGTGAAGCCTCCGCCACCCTGCAGACCCTCAAAGAGGCGTTCATCGACATCGAAACCACCCTCACCGTCGCATCATCGGCCGGCCAGGGCCCCCCACTTCTCGATATGGCGCCACTGCTCTCTCATCTTCAAAAGCCGCGTGGCGAGTTTTGGGGCAGTGACTACGACCTCGATATGCAGAGCGAGCAGGACACCGCTGAGACCCTCCGTGCTCTCCTGCAAATTATCGAATGTGAGGAGAGCACGGCTGGTGTCTCGGAGGAGACCCGATTTGGGGCGGTGTTTGGATGTGCCCTTCTGAGGAAGAAGGTGTGTCAGTGTGGCGAGGGGAGGGAAGCGGTTGGGGCTACGGAGAGGGTGGTGGAAGTTGGTGTGACTGACGTGATGGATTTGTCCAAGGAGTGGGATCTCACGGAGGTCATCCAGGCGACCTTGCTGCAAGATGATAAGCCCGAAGGCCAGCGCCCGTGCTCTGGCTGCGGAGGTCGCATCACATACAAGTAAGACGGGGTGCTCCTATGACACAAATCCATCGATGTTTATCCATTCATCCAGCCATTCATCCATCCATTGCTTGTTTCCTTTGGTTATATTGCAGACAGCAGATGTACGATGCGGCGGACGTCCTGGCGCTGTCGGTGAAGCGCGCACAGTGCCACTACACCAACTGGGGGACGATAGACCGTCAATACCCCAGCCCCCTTCGCATCTCGGCCCCCATGACACTTGAGCTGCCCACTGTCATCAGCCCCGTCCCTTTCGAGCTATTCGCCGTCCAGTTCCACCATCCTGACAGGGACGACAACGGACACGAGGAGGTCAATGGCGGCCACTGTACGGCACTGGCCAAGTGCTCTGACAACAAAGAGACGTGGGCCATTGGGGACGATGCGGCAGCGCCGAAGATAATGTCTCGTCAGGAGGCGGCAGCTCACCTCTCACTGCCTGAGGTGCAGCGGCGGATATCGATGGTGTGGTATGCGAAGAAGAAAGAGACCGAGAACAACGGCAGTAGCAGGTCAATCTCTGTCGGGCCCGAGGCGGGTGATGAGCTCTTTCCCGAGCCGCGGGCATCTGTGGGCAGCGCGACGGTCATCAACCCCCCCTTCCCTTCCCTCCTACCCCTCGTCACCCACTCCAGCCGTCTGCACAAGAAGACGCACATCGGGAGGCGCCCGCAGCTGTGGAAGCCGCCGAAGACGCCCGAGAAGCCGTCCATGTGGACGAGAGCGGGCCGGGCCCTCTATGCGACTTTGCTGGGCGTCGGCAAGTGCGTCCTGAAGCCTCCTTGCACAAGGCAGGAGCTGAATCTGCCCCCAGGAGACACACTGTTTCCTGCCCCGCGGCCGCGTCTCGGCGGTCCGAAAGTGATCCAGCCACTGAACGACCCTGGGAACTATCAGTCAGCTGTGTCCTACCTGGAGCAGCGACTGGTAGTTCCCCCCCTGCCCGTCGATGATCGGCAGGCATGGCTCCTGGTCATGCAGTGGTTCATCGATCGGGGCAGCAGCAAGATGGGGGAGACGAGATGCATGGTTGTAGTAGCACATGGGTGGGTGGGAGGGAGGGAGGGAGGGGTTTGGAGTGATTGAGTGATTGTGATATGTCGGTCGACTGATGGGTTGGCTGACAGAGAGAAGGAGATAGTGGGGCGGTGAGCGACAGGTGTGTCTGTTCGGTTGGTGGCCAGAGAGATAGTGGCCGGGAGACGCGAGTGGCAGAGAATAGACAGAGGCTGGATGGGTTTATGGGCGGCATGGATGTGCGTGTATGGGAAGTGTCATTGACGCCAATGGACGGACCAATGGATGGATGCCTATCGATGGGATACAGACATCGACTCGCATCCAACTCCTCACGGACTGACAGATGGCTGCTGCACGTGAAATCTCGAGGCACTCGTACGAATTGAATGTTGAATTTCATCGCAGTTCCACACATGAAGTACACAGCGGGTCCCATTCAAGGAGGGAGGGGAGGCACCATCCCACCCCACCCATTCATGTGTATGTAAAAAGACAGGGCATCACGCCCAGACAGGTCCGTCCGTATGTCTGTCTGATTGTGTGAAGGCAACAAAACCGCTGCCTCTAAGCAAGGCCGAGGGCCACAGACGGACGCACGAATGGCATACAGTCGGCCTGCCTGTAGGAATCCAATGCAATGGTTACAACTACTAGCACATACGCACACGTACGTAACGTAAACACACAGGTACGCAAGCAAGAGGCAGGCACATAGCAGACAGACATGATAGGAGCGATAATGCACGCAGCCACACACAGTGAGTGATACACGACGCAATCAATCATTGACGCACAGCCATACCCACCTCTGGCCACCATCATACCTCCCTCCCTCCCTCCCCACCCACACGCACGCCCCAGCCATGCATGCTACGGAAGCGGCCACACGGGCAACCACTACCAATGTCTGTCTGTCTGGCTACCTGCCTGCCTACGGTCTGTCTGTTCTGTCTTCCTTCTTGGTCTCGATGCTGTCTGGGAGTATCCGCACGGCCGCACTGGCGAGCAGCCCAACACAGCTGCAGGTGTACCACACCAGGCTGTAGTTGAGGGGCCATGCGGTGCCGTGCGTGATGCTCCAGGCGAACAGACCACCACCGATCGGCGGGGCGACCAGACGGCACACGGCCGCGGATGCCTGACCTATGCCATTCGTAGTGCCCCTGGAGTCATTCATACAGCACCAACACGCACAACATGTGTCCCTCTCTCTCTGTCTCCTTCTCTCCCTGTCTCTCTCTCCCTCTCTGGGTGTGTGTGCGTACCTTTTTTTGGCGAGGCACGAGTTGTTGACGAGCACAAAGACGCTCGTGAAGGCGCTGAGCTGGAACATCTCGAGGCACCCGTTGCGGGCGACGAGAGCGCCCAACACCACCCACGCACTCACATTGTCACTCCAGCAACCACTAGCCGACTGTCCCTTGCCCTCGTCTGGCAGCCACGCCAGCAATGGCGTCAGGGCGCACACTACCGCAAAACCGCTCATACCCACCTAAGGCAAACGAACACCATACGCAAGGAAGAAACACAGTGTCGTGTGTTGAGAGCCTCTGTGTGCGTGTGTGTGTGTGTGTATTTCACCTGGAACGTTCTTTTGCATCCGAGTGTGCGTGCGATCTTGGGGTAGCAGAAGAGCTGAAAGGCGAGGGAGAAGGGGGCCGACGCTATGACCGTCACAGCAATGGTGGAGCTGTCCAGCCCAAAGCCGCTCGAGGACGCGGGCAGCACCGCCCACAAGGGGTACACCTCCGTGGCCATCATCTGCCCGAAGGCCAATGCGCCGTAAAGACTGACGCACACCCAGACCTCCCAGCTCCACCCACCACCGCCCCCATCAGCCAGTATTGGCTGAGAATGAGAGCCTTGCTCGTGACCGTGGTCGTCATCATCGACAAGAACATGATCGTCGGCTCCTTCCGGCTCCCCGTCCGCCTCCTCATCCCCTTCGCCGTCCCCATCAGGGGATGTGTCAGCCGTGGCAGCCGTGGATGCGTCAGACCAGTTGCTGCACCGACTCATGGAGCTCTGCAGCTTGGGGAAAGGCCCCTCACCCTCGCCCTCTCTCGCCACCACATCGCTTGCAGCCACAGACTGGTAGCCTCTCGCACGGCGGCCCAGCCAGCCGCAGAGGTCGGCCTTCTTCGCTCCTGGCAGTGTTTCTTCGAGAAAGCAGAGGGCGAGTGGCACCACGACAAACGACAAGGCGCCCGCGATGAGGCATGGAAGGGCGAAGGGGTGGGTGGTGAAGAACAGCGGTAGGTGGGAGTTGGGGGCGGCATCGTCGGGGTCGCCGGACAGCATGCCTCCTATGGATGGCCCCACCAGCCGTCCGAGACTGGCACCGATGCCGAAGATACTCATCCCCGTGGCCTATGCTCAGACACAAAGACGCACAGGAATCAACCAACCGCACTCGAGTACCAATGGGTGCATGGCATGGGCGACTGACTTACCTGCATGCTCGAGTCAAGGATCTCGCCACAGTATGTCTTTGCGACCCCTGACAGACCAGAGAGAAGGCATATATGGAATAAAGTACCTGGATGTGGTACGCGCCGTGTACTGACCTACGACAGAGTTCAACAGGCCCCAACAGAGGCGCACCGCCAGAGCAAGGTCAAATGTGGTCACCAAACCTACTCGAAGGAAGCCGCCAAGAGAGAAAGAAAGAAAAACAGACAGACACATAACTTGTTCTGTGTGTGTGTGATGTGTGCCTGGCTGGTATGCACACCGAGGACGGTGCACGCCACAGCCGTGGTGCTCATCCCGATGAGCATTACAGGTCGCCGCCCAATGATGTCAGCCATCCTCCCCTGCAGAGACAGACACACAGACACGGCAGGCAACCAGCGCACAGCCGGCATGGCAGCGATGCATCCTTGCCCCATCAACGTAGGCGGGATGACTCCGTCCGTCAGTTTTACCCAGAACAACGAGCCAAACAGCGACCCCAGGTGGAAGGCCGCCCCAAGCCACCCGGCTTTGTACCCGAGCTGAAGGTGGATAGATAGGATGGACGACAGACAGCATACCATACGAGGGAGGATGGTCATGGCTGGCTGGCTGGCTGGCTGGATGGATGGATGGATACAAACAAGGGGTGGGTGATGTGATGTGTGTGTTGCTCACCTTTGCAAGCGGCAAGTCGGGCAGGTAGAAGCGCACCATGAAAGGCAGCATCGGGAACAGCATCCTGCACCCCAACACACAAACACAACAGACAAGTGCAACCAAACCACAGCCTCTGAGCGCTGCGGTCCTTTTCGACGTATGGCCACATGTATACCAGATGAAGACTGAGTTTGCGAACAGAATCATGCCAAGTATAACCAGACGGAACCTGACGGATTGAGCAGACGGGACAGCAGGCAGGACCGGGTCAACAGCTAGATGGATGCCTCTTTGTTCCTCGGTGTGATTGCATCGGTGTGGGACCATGGGAAGCGCTGCTTGCTCGTCATCTCTTGTGGTGCAGTGGCATCCACGTCGTTTGCCGTTGCCGTCTTGTCGATGAGGGCGTCCTTTTCATGAAAGGAAGAGCTCTTGTCGGCCACTATCACCGCCACGTGTTCAAAGTCAGATGGCTGTGCTTGCTCATCCCCATCTTCGCTCGAAGCCATTGCTACGTCCTGTGTCATTGCAGAAGCCACACAACCGCCACAAATTTTCTCCAGCTCGCAGCTGCGAGCTGAGCCAGTTGTCCTCTCTGCCCCCCTTCCCTCTCTCTATGCTCTGTGCCTCACTGGCGCCTCCACCACTGACTCAGGCGCCGATGCTCATCACTTCCCTGCCTTTCCTCAACTCACCCGTGCCTCTCTTTCGGTACGGCCACAGGCCACGCGACTCCCTCTTCATGCTGCCACAGCACATGAGGAAACGCCAGGAGGCCTATTCCGCCGGCGGCCGCCGGCGAGCCGACACGGGCAGCTCGTGCAGCGGTGATGAGGAGGACGGTGACCGGCTGCCGCTCCTGCTTGAGGAGCAACAGCGGCAGCAACGGCAGCAGCAGCGCAAGTCAGATCCCAAGCATACCAGCGATCTGCCGGCATTCCCCCTTTTGGAGCTGATGCTGCTCAACACTGTGACAGTGTTGTGGGGCACCCAGCATGCAGTTATCAAGAGCGCCGTGGACCCGTCCGTTGCCTCCTCCCCCGCCCTCATCAACCTGATGCGCTTTGCCGTCGCAGCTCTCATCTTCCTTCCCTGGCTGCCAACCACGCGGCATCAGAGCGGGGTTGTGGGAGGGGAGGAACGGGATGATCGGACAGGCGTGTGGCGAGCGGGCGGTGAGCTGGGTATGTGGATGTTCCTCGGCTACGCCTTGCAAGCTGTGGGGCTGCAGGAGACGACCGCCAGCAGGAGCGCCTTCCTGCTCTACCTCAACGTCAAGTTCGTCCCCTTCCTTGCCGCACTCCTCTTCGGAAGACACATCTCGGCGGTACGCGTACCTGGGGCGCGTCAAACATGCACCTATCGGTGATCTCCCGTGTCTTGTGCTGTGAACAGGGCACGTGGCTATCTGCTTTGACGGCGTTTGCGGGGACTGCCCTGCTGTCGTCGGACGGCTCGCCCCCCAATATTGGCGACCTGTGGAGTGTGGCAGCGGCAATGGCGTCGGCCATGTTCATCCTGCGGCTGGAGGCGGCCGCCAGGAAGTGAGTCAGCACTGAGGGAAGGAACCATACACCCTCATGACACACACACAATACGGTGCTGTCTCTGCAGGTACCGTGCTGTGGATCTGAACGCGACTAGCCTCTCGACTGTGGCCGTGTTGTGTCTTGTGTGGGCTGCCGTCACGGTGGGGTATCCATTGCTCGCCGGTGGCCACCACGGACACAGCGACGTAGCCAAGGAGCTGCTGGACGGCATCAGGACGGCCCTCGTCAGCGAGGAGGGGTCCAACAGAGCCGACGTGCTGCGAGATGTTGGCCGGCAAGTGGGTGCAGCCCTCTATCTCGGCATCGTGACAACAGCCATCTGCAACTTCATCCAGGTGTGCACATGCGCAGACAGGCACTGCTTCATTTCTGCTGACTGACGTGACGGGTGGTGTGGTCGGCTGCAGACTGTAGGTCAACGTCGCGTGAGTGCCGAGAGGGCGGCCATCATCTACTCCCTCGATCCGCTCTGGGGCGCCATCTTCGCTAACCTCCTCCTTGGAGAGACACTGGGTGCTCAGGTCCGCTGGCCGCCACATAACGAGCCTTGGTCTTTCATCGGTGTGACCCCCATCTGCCGTGGTGGCGTGTGGTGTGATTCAGGGTTATGTGGGTGCTGGACTGATTCTTTTGGCGGCGGTTTCGCAGCAGATTGACCTCAGCGGCCTTCGGTCGCGGCAAGGGGCGGCCTCTGGGCCGGCCAAGGGGTTTGAGAAGAGAATAGAGCTGACAGTGGACGACAGATAGACAGACACAGTCTGCTGCTTCTGTTAGAGGCCACCAGTCAGTCGACTCAGTGTCATCTCTCCCTTCTCCTTGGCGTACGTGAGGGTTACGCCTAGAAAGTCGACACCTTCGTGGGAATAACCCTCAAATGCGCCAAGGAGCAGGGAGAGGTGACGTTGTCAGAGAGGACATGACATGCACAGCATGTCGACGTAGATGTTTGGGCTAGGCGTGGATGCGATTGAGTGACACCACTCAGGCATGCATAGTGGATGAGAAACAGATGTTCATTTGTCGGGACTGCATCCACTATGGTGTACAGTCAGTCTGTCAATCTGCCTGTCCCCATCACAACACGCAGTCAGTATACTGTACAGCGACGTCCACATCCTCAACCTCTCTCTGTCACCTCCCGCCCGCATTGCCCTTCACCATCACCAGCGTGTGGCCGTCCTTCGCCTTCGCAATGAAACTCCTGAACACCCATATGCAGGCACACACTCTTTGCCCATCGGTTCGATGCACTCACTGCACACCTGTGTGCGGTTTCGATGCACACCACGGGCGCAGCAGCGCCTTCCTGCTCCATCCGGCTGGCCTCCTGCACAATCGTGCTGATGAGTGAGGCGTTGTCGGGCATCTCGCCCTTGCCTGACGCACACACACATACACAGGCAGGCACAGATGCAGTCAGTTCCTTCGTGATACTGCGATGACGCTGCTCGCACCTCCGACTTTGATGCCGTATGCATTGTACACCGCTGCAGCCTTGACGCCTGGCTGAGTTGTCAGACGACTCAGCACCTCATCCATCTTCCCACACGCCGGAGATCTGCAAGCTTATCTCGAAGGGATCGCCCTGGCAGATCTGACAATGAACTCAGCTTCTGGCAGCTCTGGAGGCTCAACTTCGTGTGCCTACATCACCTTGCTGACGTCCGACTCATTTGCGATTGGCGTCGAAACATTGGCCTTCTCGCTGCGGAAGACCGGCACGCCTCATCCATTCATCGTGCTGGTGGGCCCTCAGGTCAGCGAACGGACATTCAAGAGGCTCAGCGAGCGGAAGGGCGTGGAGGACGTCCGGCGCGTGGATGGGATTGCCAACCCTCATGCCGAGGAGGGATGTCACGAGCCGGGATGGGTCAACAGCGGATTCACCAAACTGCACGTACGTATGACGTCCGGCCATGCACTGCAGTCACTGCTTTCTTCATTCTGTGTGTCTGATCTGATGTGTGCCTTCCTGCCAGGTGTGGTCGCTGACTGAGTTCCAGCGAGTGGTATACATCGACGCCGACTGTATCGTGATGCGCAAAATCGATTGCCTCTTCGACCCGGCCGCCGTGTCGTGCCCTGCCTTCGCCCCGGATGTGTTCCCCCCGGACCGCTTCAACGCTGGCGTCATGGTCATCGAGCCCTCATTGGCCGTGTATGAGGACCTGCTGGCCAAGAGGACAGTGCTGCGGTCATACGACAGAGGCGACACGGGTTTCCTGAATGCATACTTCAGCGGGTGGTATGGGTGGGATGCCAAGCACCGGCTGGCCTTCCACTACAACGCCCAGAGGACCATGCACTGGATGACCCACAGCAAACAGCCGGGTATGTGTGTGGCGCACACAAAGGGATGGATTTGCATAAATATGCTCGTGCTGTGCTGTGCTGTGCTGTGTATTGTGTGGTTGAATGAATGTGCGTTTGTCTGTCAGGTTACTGGGACGAGTGTGTGTTGCCGTGCCTGTCGGTGCTTCATCTAAGCAGCAGCCCCAAGCCGTGGGAGAGCCCCGACAGGAAGGGGCCGACTGAGTGGCTGTGGTGGAACATGCACATACAAATGAACATCGAGGGGGGATAGTGAGATACATACATACATGGGCAGCTGGGCGGACGGGCGGATGGACGGATGGGCAGAAACCAACCATTGTGTAGATAAAGACTTATTCGAAAGACACTCACTCATTTAGTTGCACGTGTGTGTGCTGGCATCAATCCATCCATGAAGTGCATTGTATTCATCGAAGCATACATGGCATGGAAAGGCATTAGCGAGTCACAACATGGGCCACAGCAGCTCACTCTCGAGCACGAGTGTGAACGGAGACATGAACACGTCAGCAAACTCTATTATAGACACACAACACACGCATAGAAGCATCCAGTCCACAGACAGAAAGGCAGAGGAGACAGCTGCGTCCATCCCATCCAGCCATGGGTGTAGTGAGGCCATTGCCCACCTTCGTAGGACATGAGGGCATCCTCGTGGTTCTCGCCGCTCAGCAGCTCGCCCAACACCTCACCAGGCGGCAGCAGCGGGGTCTGACGCAGCCCAGCCGCCCACACACAAACACACACACACACACATTCGCACACAAAACGTTCCTCTGCCGGCCGTGTTCATCTCACGTTTTTCAGCACATGAGCAGCGCTGTGTTTCTGCAGGCAGGCAGGCAAGAAATTGACCAGATTCGCCTCGTATGTCCGCGGTCGTCTCTCCTTGTACGTGACTGACCGTTTCGCCGCCGAGTTTGCTGCCAAGGATGAGCAGATTACGGTACATCTCCCACACCTGCACACGAGCAGGACACCCTGGATGTCTCCCCATGCACGATTCGGGCACGAAAACACACCTGCAGCGTACATACCTTTTCCAGGACCGGTGTCTCCGCGTCGCCCGTGTCTCCCCCAGCCTGCGCGCCACCTGCCGCTGAGGGCAACACCAGGTAGTAGACAATCGTGGCAGCAGTAAGTGCGTGGTTTGTGGTGTCAGTGCCGTGGTTACCCTTTGGCGGCGGCACGTGGAATGAGGTCCAGAAGGGGAGCAGACGAACGCCGTGCTGAGTGAGAGAGACCACAACAGACATGATGGCCTCCCTGAGGCTGGCTGGTCTCACCCACCAGCTCAGTGAATTGGAGGATGCGGACATTCGCTACCCCCTCACCAGGGCTGCCCTGTTGTCGTTGAGCCGACAAAGGCAAAACAGACGAGCTTTTCTTTGCAAGTATTGGTCTGGTCGGCCATTGCGCTTGCTACCTCTGATTGTGTCTGCATGTCGCCAACCTTGGTCAACAGGCGGAACAGCTGCTCAGTGAGGCCCTACAGAACAACAGACAGGCAGACAGGCAGACAGATGAGTGTCTCCATCTGTCTGTGTGTCTGTCATACACTCACTCTACCTACCTCTGCGAACAAGAGGGCCGCCTGCTGTGAGGCGTATACGAGGAGCAGGCCGGTCACCTCGCCAGACTGAGCCTCTGACTGCATCCATGCCGACAACACGCCTGCACACACACCAACAGTACAGACAGGACATATCCCTTGCGCATTCTTGTCACCCTCAGCTCACTCTCGAGTCTCTGTGCTGTCTTGGTGGCTTCCACCAAGGTGCACGCGAGCAAAATGCGGCTGCATGAAGCCTAAGGAGGCAGAGGGGCACACCACGATGCACTGGCAGAGCCACGCGCAAGGGCTTGGAATTGCTTGTTGCTCACAACTCCCTTGAGTTGCGCTTCGATGGCCTCAAGGGCAGACGGCCTGTGCGTATCCGTGACTGTGAGGCCGCCACCTTGCAGGGCAGACTTGCTCAATGCGCCGCCGTGCGACTGATCCAGGTTCATCGTCTCGGCGTCTTTGAATTGGCCCCCATCTAACCCCCACTGCCAGTGCATGTCCACTGCTTTCCCTCTCACTCGCAGGCATGAATGTCAAACACACGCACACGGACACACGCGCCTCCATGGATGGATCCATCGCACGACATGGCTGTCGAAAGCACGACAAAAGCTCCAATGAGCTACCGGTCACGTGCATGTATGCGTCTGTCTGTCTAACTGTCTGGCGTGCGAACCCAATTCATCGTGCAGGGGTGACGACACTCAGCAAGCATTGTGCTCCTCCGGAAGGTCGCACCTCCCCTGTTGGGCACGACCCGTTGCCTCTGGCCAATTGCGGCAAGAGCTGCCAGCCGCCTCTGGCTGGTCGCCGCATCGGTGCTAGACGGTGACAGAGGAAGGGCAAACACAAAGCGTGAAGAGGGCGAGAAAGCATCGAAAGTGTGGTGAAGGAACAGCGTCAGGCGTGACCTGCATCGAGAGAGACATGTATCAAATCGTATAGCGATCGTATGCAGCCAGTATGGCGCATCCTACCTCCTGGCTTTCAGCGGTGCTGGTGGGGGCGGCTGGGGGAAGAACATAGAGCCGTTGTGCGTCTCCCTCTCGCCAGGGTCGTTGGTTTCTTGGCAGGCCAGGGCGAGCGCGTGGATGGCGGGCGATGCTGCTTTAGGGAAATCGACGAACACGACCGACTGGCTGCCCTGTGCACCGGATGGTGTCAAAGCGGGAGCATCGGCATGAGAAAGATAGAGAGCGACGACAAGACACGAGTCTGTGGAACAATAGCAGAGTGTACAGGGGAGATTGTACGTCAGTGCCCGTGTCCTTCTCACCATGTGTCGGTGTCTCTTCCTTTGTGCGTCCTCTGGACGTTGTGCTGCTGACAGTAAAAGCGTCTCGTGTCGTGCTCTGCCGGAGGTGCGGCCGCTCTGTCGAAAAGGGCCGCGGTGAATCTGATGGGCTGCGGGGGCCCTCCTTTGTCCTGCAAACAAGACAAGAAACAATTCGGAGCAGGCGGACCCACGATCATTGTCACACACACCGTCTGGAGCGCTTGTATTCTGACCTCTGTGTGGCAAGGTGCCTCAGGATGCGTCTTAGCCTTTTCACGTCATCATTTGTGGCTGCCCTTACTCTCACGTACGGCTCATCTCTCTTTCGGGCCCTTTCTCGGAGCCGCGCCTGCAGCACAGTCCCCACTCTCTTCTCGTGCTCGTGCTCGGTCGAAGCAAACAGCCCTCGAGAATGTCGCCTCTCTCCCCTTGTGACTTCATCCGGTCCGAGGTAGCTGGCCAAGACATCGGTAACTGACCCGGCGACGCCCCCTCCCCCGTTCTTGGTCTGTACAAGGAATATTGACACGTCGACCGGGTGAGAAGAGTCGTCCGCAATGAGACGTGACAGAACGCGCGACACGCAGGACGCAGTGGTCTTGTCGTCGCTGGCCAGCGTGGCGACCGTCAAGGTCTTGGCAGCAGGGCAGGCCCCTATTTGGTCGATAATCGTGTCAGCAATCCCCCCCTCCTCCGTATAGACAGCATCGAACGGCCCATAGACTCTCCTGGTGAATCCTCCCCTGGCCACACACTCAATCATGCCGCCACCAAGTGACCGCACTATGGCTCGGTCCGCCTCAGGGACGACAGGTCTGGGCGTGCGAAGGAGAGGGGAGGTAATGACGGACACCGTGGGTGAGAGGCGGCGGGAGTGCGGCAGATCGGTGAACCTCAGGGGTGTGGACGGTCTGTGTGGGGAGGGGGTGAAGGAGGGGAGAGTAAGGGACGTCTCATGGGAGGAAGGGGCGTCGGTGTGCTGCTGGGGGGCCTGCCGAATGACGCACACCGTCGTAATGCGGCTGTCAGCAATGGGGGGTTTGGGGGATGGGGGAAGGGGCGCAACTGTGGCATCGGCAGGTTGTGGGGCCGCTTCTGTGCCTGGAACTAATCAGCATGGCACAGATATTACACCCTAGCGGCAACGCAGCACTCTGTTCAGTTCTTACGTGTCTCTGCCTGCTGCCCTTTTCGCGATGCTGGTCTGGATAGTCTGTCCTCACGCCGGCTGCGTGGTCGTCTTTGGTGCTGAGCGCATATCTGTTCGGCCTTTTCTGAGGCCTCATTGAGCAGTGTCTTCTGCGCCCACAGCTGTGATATGACCGACATGCGCATATGCTCCAGATCCTGCCGCATCGAATGAAGCTGCACGCAGGAAGCCATCAGAGACATCAGAGACGATGTCAAGTAGATGGATGTGCCACCGATCTGGCGCCCTCGACCTACCTGCTTTAGGAACTTGCCGCCCATGGCAACGAGACGGCCTTTCTCACGCCTGCACTAACACAAAGCGGATCGTCTGGTAGCTTCGGTCTCCTTTGGGCCGTCCATGCCTTATTGTGTCTTCACTTTCTCGGCTCTCTTCGACAGCTGCGACCGTGGGCGTCTCCTTAAGTCGTCTTTTGTCGACGGTCACTTCAATGAGCAGCCGATTGGTGTGCTCGAGCATGTGTATCCGCCGCTCGGCCGACCTGCCACCAATGCAAACGGCGGAAAGCAAGTCGAATAGCTGTGTGGATGTCTGTTGCCTTGGTGTGGGTGAGTGAGCGATTGCATGCTATACTTGAGCAGTCGTTGCAGCTGTGCCACTCTCTGTCCGTAGAGAGCATGCAGGGACGTGATATCCTCCGGCGGCGACTTCCTCTGCTGCCGTGAATCACGACGCACCTGACCTGCATGCACAGAACTTCAGACGCAATCGAGTGGACTTGGCATTTCTCATACATACCAGGGGCAGTTCTTGGTCTCAGAGATCTCACTGCAGCGGCTATTCCCCCGCTCTCCCCCTCTATCATCTCCAATGATGACGGCTCATGAGTAGCCGGAACACTGATGGGCCGCTTGGGAGGATAACGGACGGAATCGTCAACTCTCCTTTGGGTGCCGCCCCTTCCTCTGGCGGCTTTGGGCACTCTTGGCTGATACAGCGCTCTTGAAAGGATGTGGACGGTGTCACGTTGACCGGGCGTGTCGTCGGGCGGCGGATGCCGCTTCGCATTGACATTGCAATGCGGCTGCGCCGCCTCTCGCTTGTCTGTAGCCTCATTCTCGTGCTCATTCTCCATCGCGGCGTGCCGAAAATTCTTAGTGGCTGGGGCACGTGAAACTGTGCCTTTGAGAACTTAGCTCGCAGATCTCTGTTCGGGATGGTTGCCATTTCGGATGCGGAATCCGCCCGTCGATACGAATGGGACCAGGTTACGTGCAAGAACAGGCTCATGCTGCATGGACGCATGTTTCCCGCTGTGGATCTGGCCTGCAGGAGGGGCATTTCGTCAGCGTCTGGGTGCCGCTTGCAGAGGACATCACTGCAAAGGACATCCGCTGTACCATCAAGCCGAGGGAGATCAGCATCACCGTCAAAGTCAGCATGAGATCCGGACGAGAGATCTCCACGCACATGTGTGCTGTGCTTGTCAGGGCGATGAGATTGTGAGTGGGGATCTCACGCAGATCGTCAAGCCCGACGACTCGCTGTGGATGATAGAAGACGATGACCGACACAGAGGAAGGTAAGGTAGCCGCCAAGCTCATACTGAAGGACGGGGTGCTGCATTCACTGCTGCTGCTGCTCTTGTACACAGGTGCCTGCACGTGTCGTTGAAGAAGAGCCTCGAGTGCACCGAGTGGATGTATCTGCTCAAGGCCGACATGGACGTCAACTGGGATAAGTTCTGTACCACTCTTCGCCCGATGGACCACACCCACCAGTGCCCCACAGCGGACCCATCCACCCACCACCACTTCGCCCCTCAGTGGCCAAAGACGACCACCTGTGATGGCCACCACCACCACTGAGTGGCATGGGGGCTTGCCAACGAAATCGGGCTGTTCTGTTCTATGTGCGTGTGTTGACCTCTCACTTTTTGAGGGGTTCTGATGCCTAAAAAATCCTTTTTCTCTCGTCAGTGCGTCTTCCTGGCCCGTGTGACGGTGTCGAGCACACGTGCGGGCACTGTGCGCTGGACTGCGTCATGTGGTGCGGGTCAAGACGGGCGACGAGAGGATAGCGCCTGCAGGGAGGAAACTCCCGAACGAGAGAAAGGTCACAATGTGTACGTGTGGCTATGGTTGTATGGTTGCTCTTGGGGACTGCTGCTGCCTGTACATCGTATACACACATGCCTCGGCCCCACTTTTTGAGGGGTTCTGACATGCCGCTGTGCTGATTGATGCGTTTATTGGCGATTGTTTCCATGCAGTCCTTGTTCGTAACATCGAGACGTGCAAACAGCTAGCTACTGCAGTGTTCGTTCAAGTTTTGCACACAACCAAAAGAAAGGCAGACTAGCAGCCTTCCCTTCCTGGCTGCCCCGCTCTCCTATCAACAACAGAATCACTAACGGACATGCAACACATTCGACATACATGCACAAACCCCGCTGACTCAGTCAGTAGTCAGGGCAAAAACTCATACAAATCACCCATCCATCCATCCATCCATCCAGTGTCACTGCTCAACCACTCGCTGCCTCCAAATGCAGAAAAATCCTCTCCCTGCCTGACGGTCGGTCGCCCCTCACCAGATCTGCCAGAAAGGTTTTTCTTCCTTGCTGCTCTCCGCGCCGCCCACCGAGGCAGCCATCCCCCCTCTGGCTTGCGGCCTCGTGCTGACGATCGTCTCGTCCATTCGTGTGGGCTTGGCAGATGAAGCACGGCCCGATGACGAGCCTGATGCTGAGCGTCTGGACTTGGTTGATGACCGCTGCTTGTCGGACTGGCCAGTGAGGCCCGCCCACCAGCTCTTGCGGTTGGGATTCACCCACCCTGACTCCACCCAGGGGGACCGCAAGTCAAAACGCTCCCCCTGGTCGTACCTGAACGGAAGCCGCGCATTCACGATGACCTACCTGTGTGCTGTGCCGCATCTGCTGGATGTCGCGTGGGCTTACTTCTCGAGGCCAAAGGGCGCTACAGGCAAGGGGATGCCTGCAGACAGACAGACAGACAAGACGGAAAGACGCGCAAATCCATCGATGCATGTGCAGATAGATACTTGCTCGCAGTCAGCTGGCTTACTCCTCTCTGGTTCCTCATAGGTAGACGTGCCAGGCTTGCCGATCAGCCCCTGCTCGCGGAAGGACTCCCACGTGGCCTCGATGCGCTGCTTCCTCTGGGCTGCCGTCTCGCCTGCACCCGTACGTATCACTTTTCTCCCCTGTGTGTTGTTTTCCCTTCCTTGGACACACGTGTGTCTTACTTACCTGGCCTCTCGGCCCATGCTTGCTTCTTCAAGATCTCCAGCTTGCTGGCCTTGGCTCGCCTGTCGGCCAAATCGGAGTAGTACCTGAACGATGCGCAGACAGACATGACATCCCGATGCGGCGTCCACACACGAGAGCGCATGGATGTCCCTCACTCGTGCTCACTCACTCTTTGAGCTTCTCTGGGTTTCGCCTGCGCTGGAGGATCTCCTGCTGCTTCTTAAACCGCTCGGCCTTGACAGGACTGACACGACAGCAGGACAGCCACACCCACGCAATGCCAGCCAGCGACACTGTCCATGTGTTGGTCTCGGCGGCTCACTCGAGCTTCTCCTCCATCTCATCTTCATCTTTGTTGTTCCAAAAGAAGAACAGGGCGGTCCGCGGCTGCCCGTCAGCCGACACGCGTGGCGCCGCCGGCCTGCCGCCATGCCGCGCTGACAGAGACGAAAGGGGCCGAGATGGCACAAGAAAGCCCGATGAGAGATGCGACAAAAGGAACAAGATCAATAGATACGGGAGGATCAATGCCACGGGGACGGCCTGCATCCTTGAACGCGCTCTTCACTGAGAAGAATCTTGCGCCAAAGCTGGCAAGCCACTGGACAGCAGAAGAAGAGATGGATCTGTCAAAAGGACAAAAGGATAAGAAGCCCTTGGCAGCCAGTTCGGAACAGCCGAGCTTGCAGAGCACTTCTAAGCTCGCAGCTTCATCCTCCGTCATGAAGGCGGCGGCGGCCGCGTGTGTGCTCCCCGTCCATTCGTGGCGGCACCTCCGTCTTCGATCTCGCATAAGCAGCGGCGAATTGCTCTGCAGAAGGTGGCTCTCATCGGTGGCGCCGAGTCAATCATCGTCTTATGCGGACACAGGCAGCCCCTTCCAGCCTGTGCAGCAGATGCCCGATGAGCTGCACCCACCAATCGAGCAAGATCACGACTCTCTCCACCTGCACGGGAGAGAAGCATCTGATCTGCACGAAGGCGAAGATGAAGGGCTGATGGAGCCCTTGGTGGAGGGCGATGCAGTGGATCCTGGCGATCATTCATCTTTAGAAGAGATCCAGCATCTGCAGGCATTCATCGGTACGTGCCCACGGATAGACAAAGCATCATCATGATGCACACACACAACACACATGAATGGATCATTCATTGGTCACTCTGAATGCATGCTGGTTGCCGCTGCTGTTGTCGGTTGGTTGATTGTCCCACAGTATCGGTGTTCAACGTGGCGTTGCGCACCAGGAACACCAAGCTCATTCACCGCATTGTCCACCTCTTCCCCAGGAGCCAACCAGACGACCTGACCAAAGACCAGAACCACCGACAGGCCGGGGAGAGTGAAGCACCGACAGTGGAGAGGGCGGAGGCCTCCCCTCCTCCAGAGACCGAGGCGTCCGCTCCTGTTGCTGCTGCTGCAGTTTCTGCGCCTCCAGAGCAGCCTTCGTTCCCGGTGTCTGGCGACCTGTGGGAGAGACTGATTGACCGCTGTGTGTGGCAGGGGGTGCTGGGCACTCATCAGGCACGAGCCGTCGCACGGGGTGCGCTCAGGGAACTGACTGACGTCATGTATGTCAGCAGGAGGGAGGGACAGAGGGACAGAGAGCCGCCAGACACGCATTCGGGTTTGATTTGTTTGCTCAGTCTGCCGCCTCGTCAGTTCATGTCGACACGTGCGGGCGAGCATTACCACACCGTCAGAGGCAACCTGGCGTGGGAACTCCTGGAGAGCGTCAGGAACGCCGTATACTTCGCCAAACAGGATGCTGCATTTGGCCAGAGACTCGAGAAGGGCGTCGAGATGTTCTGTGAGCCGTGCGTGGGGTGCGATGACATGGTGGTGCTCAGCAACGCCTTGCTACGCCGCGACTGCAAGGAGTGGCCCAGCCACCCAAAACGAGACAACGACACGCTCAGGGTCAGCAAGACGGCAGGGAAGGCCTTCACGTATCTGACTTCCCACACATCCTTCCCTCCATCCATCCATCCATCCATCCATCAATCCATCGGTGTGCATGCACAGGTGTGGGATCTCCTGTGGATCGGGCTGCCGCGTGGCGGGGCTGTCTCACCATCAGCTGCCAACGACGCGGCCTACGAGTACCACCTTGGCGTCGTGCGTCAATTCATCAACAGTGACCAGCTCGCCGAGACGGGCATCATCAACGGATCAGATGAGCCGTCAACCTACGAGGGCGGGAGCAGCGTGGCCAAACCATCAAAGCGCCCCACCTTCAGGCGGCTGAGGTCTTTCGGCCTATCCTTTGAGATGGCCTGGTCGCGTCTCGAGAGCAACGAAGTCGTGATGCTGGTGCAGCTGGTGGACCGCCTGACCAACCAGCACGAGATGGAGAGGATTCCGCGAGAGTATCTCAAGTATGCCTCTGGAGAGGGCCGGGAGGCCGCTGCCGAGTGGCTGAGGGTGGGGCGGTACGTGGCGTCTGGCGAGCGGAAGGAGTGGATCGACAAGGAGGGCCACGAGTTCATCAGAGTGGCGCCGCTGCACGTGTCCATGATCCCTTACCTGCGGTCGCTGAGGGCTCTCAGGTGCCCTCTGACACACTTCTATCATCAACACTCGCGGATGAGAAACACTGTCTCTGTGTGTGAATGCCGTCGGCAGATCGCTGACTCTGCAGGCCCGTCTGGGCCGCATTCTTCACGCCCATTACCCCTCCGCCAGGGCTAAGAAGAGTCGGTCAGAGAAACTCGCAGACCGCGCAGCGGCGTTGCGACACGGCCACAAACACGCCCACGCCCATGCAGCAGAGGTCGATGAGTCGGCGCCCGCCGCATCTGTGTCGCTTCTGGGCCGTCCATGGTGCCAGTTCCCACACCGCGATTCGTACAGCTTCACGACTGAGATGCGAGGCCTGCTGGTGGGAAGGGGTCCACCGGGTGTGGTGCGGCAGCATCTGGGCGGTGGGCTCAAGGGGGTGGACGCGATGGATTGGGAAGATACAGACACATGGGTGGAGAGCTGATGGCCCTTCACTTGTTCACTTCCCGCCCATTGCATTGCCTTCCTCGTGTTTGTTGGTTCGTTCAGGGGATCACGATAACGTCGCTTGTTGGTGGACAGCGGGATGCGCTCGAGAAGTCACTCAGGCAGAGACTCACGATCATACAGGGTCCCCCAGGCACCGGCAAGACCCACACAGCAGCGGCCATCGTCCTCGCATGGACCATCATTGACCCACACAGTGAGGGAGAGCCAGAGGAACAGACAGACAGGGCCACAATGAATGCACCACACCCCCGTGTGCGGTATGCTCATTTGATCCTTTCAGCGAATGTGCTAGCCGTTGCCGACTCGAATGCAGCGGCGGCCAACCTTGTGGCGACCATGCGGCGGCTTGGTGTGAGGTGCATCCGTGTGGGCATCGACGCAGATGAGACGCCGACCGACGCACAAGCCGTCAAAGACGCCATCAGACAACACCAGGCAAGGCAGCGCACAGAGCAGAGAGAGACCAAAGACAGGCACCACACAGCACAAGAACCAACCGGTCTGTGTGTCGTTCTTGCTTGTGCTGTGTGGCGCGTGCGTGTGTAGGTGGTGGTGAGCACTTGTGTGGGTGCGGGTGGGACTTCGTTCCAGGGCGCTGAGTTTGAGCGCGTGCTGGTTGACGAGTGCACCCAGAGCACGGAGCCCGCCACACTAGTCGCTTTGGCGAGGAAGTGCCGGCAGCTTGTGCTCATCGGCGACGCCAACCAGCTGCCGCCAACCGTCATCAGCAGAGAAGCCACACAGAGAGGTCGGCAACATACCGGGCACACAACACATAATACTGTGTTTGTGTGTGTGTAGGTCTCTCGGTCAGCCTGTTCGAGCGTCTGTCGGCGTCATTGTCGCCGTCTGACGACTGTTTCGTGATGCTGGACCACCAGCGCAGGATGCACTCGTCCCTCTCGTGGTGGCCCAATCAGCACTTCTACAAGGAGCAGCTTAAGAACGCCCTCCCCGACTCCTCCCTGCCGCCCATAGTGGGCTTCCCCTGGCCATCACCCACCACCAAAACCGCTGACACAAACGATGTCTTACGTGTGAGAGGGGGGTCGAACGAACGAACAAACGAACGGCTCATGGGGCAGTGCATTCATTGTGTCACATTCTCTTGTCCCTTCTTTGTTCTTTTCTTTGTGTCCGTGTGCATCAGGCGTGCTTCATCGATGTGAGCAGCGCGCCCCAGTCCACCGCCACCGACATCGAGCACGTCGCCGAGCAGATGAGCGAGGAGGCCGCCCTGCCCATCGTCAATGCTGCCAGCGACGCGGAGGCGGACGGCGGTGGGAGTGACGAGACCAGCAGCGACCAGCCGCCAGCCTCAGAAGGGCTGGAGGGATGCTCCTTCTGGAACGACCGCGAGGCGAAAGTAGTGGCCGCCATCGTCGGCAGACTCCTCAAAGGCCAACATGTCACCCCGGCACAGATCGGGTTAACACAAGCCAGAGAGAGAGAAACAAGGCAGCGGACGTCAGTCATTTCATGCATGGTCGTTGTGTTGTGTGCAGGGTGATCACGCCCTACCGCGCCCAGCGTCAGCTCCTCTCCCGAGAGATCGGTTCTGTGCTGGGCGGCCTGGAGACGGCCGCCAGCGGGGGTCTGGCCATCGACACAGTGGATGGTTTCCAGGGCAACGAAAGGGACCTCATTTTGGTCTCTTTGGTGAGGTGCAACAGCGACGGTCGGGTGGGGTTCCTCGCCGACCCACGACGGATGAATGTCGCCATTACTCGGGCACGGAGGGGCATTATCGTGGTGGGGCATCGGGACACACTCAGGTAATTGCGTGTGTAGCCATGCCATGGCGACAGGCAGCGCTATAGTGCACACCGCACCCACACCACACCAGCAATCAGATGTCTTTCTGTGATTGGCTCGTCTCATCCATCCTGTATGTGTGCATCCTTTGTGCGTCCAGCAAGCGCGACACCATGTGGCGGCGGTGGGTGGAGTGGGTGGCGGGCAGTGGTGGCGCGGTGCACTGGGAGAACATCAGGAGCTCTTTCGTCCCGTGACACACGGATGGCGGTGGATGGATGGATATGCTTGGTGTACATATGGAGTGTCTGTCGGTGTGCTGGTGGACAGATATATCGGCGCATAATGTGTCTCTGTTCACGAGCATGCGACGTGAGTGATCAATGTATATGGATGGATACACTGGATGGATGCAACACTCATTCAATGTTCCGTTTTTATTTGTCTGTGATTCGCCGAACCAACCCATCTTCACCCCCCTCCCCTCCACCCCGTCTGTATTCGTCAACACGTGCTCTCGTCGCCTGCCGGTACGGTGCCCTCCCCGCAACAAGCCATTGTGCGATGAGGGGCCCATCACGACAAGAGCGCCAAGCTCATGTTACGATATCAGCTAAACCCAACACACACGCATGATACGCATTTTTCTCCCGACTGAGTATATCCTTCTGCCGACCAAGGCACACTCACTCACCGAAGAAGATAGTTACAACCAGTGGGATGGGAGAGTGATCTGTGCACCCACGCACAGACAGACAGACAGACGGACACCCAGGGAAAACACTTGTCCGTCCATCCATCGGTCGAGTTGCACCCGCCCCCGTCAACAATGACATGTTCACACATGCGTTTCGAAAAAGAGAGGTGCGTGCAGGAAAAGGCACCGGTGTACCGTACAGCAATCCCGAAACAGGAACCCTTGGCATGGTGGCCGTTGGTTGTGCCGCCTCCACCGACGGCGCTGCTTCCCTCCTGTACTCAAGGAGGCAGCAGAGACGTCTGTAGCCGCAGCTTTAGCAACGGCCATAATGCTCTCTCCCCCCCCTCTCCACTGCCATACGATGGACAAAAAATGACCCACGCCCTTCGTTCTTCGACACAGGAAAGAGCTGGTGGGTATGGTATGATGCTATGTATGTATGGTATGTATGGCATGGGGTACTGTACACATGATAAAAAACAAACACGACTGACTGACTGACCGACTGACTGACTCATAAGAGGGCAAACGAAAGGTAAGTAATTCACACGGGCATGGCGTCTGCTATGCATCTACGGGCCCCCCCGGCCGGAAAAAAGCCAGATCGTACTGTACTTGGTTGCTTGTGGTTATACATCCATCCACACATCCATCCCATTCACACATCCATCCATCCATCCATACACGAACAGACAACAAGCGGGCGCCCGTGCAATCAACATCATCCCTCAACTCGCCCCCCCTGCACGTGTGCGGTCGATATGTGTTCTTCCTTCACTTGTCGGTCTCGTCCTTGGATGCGCTGTGCTGTGGCTCCTCGTGTGCGCTGCCGGCCTTGGAGGCGCCCTCCACGGGTGTGTGTGGGAGCGGCACCCCCACCGGCGCACCGTAGAGCGGCATCGGTGCCAGCAGCGGCGGGTTGGGAGTCGTGGTGAGGACGTAGTTCATGTGTGGAACGCTCCCTGCCACCGGCACTACCATCGGGTGGGTCTGCAGACACACACACACACACACACCTCTGTCTGTCTGGGTGTCGTCTGTCAGCACGTGTATTGTGTTGTGTTGTGGTTGTGCAGGTGGGTGGATGGCTACATACCACGGGTGTGGGTCGGTACTCGTGCATGGGCGGGACCATCTGGTGAGTCGCCACGACGTAATTCTGACACACACAGATCCGACCCGACACACAGCAGAGCGCCAGATTACTTCATGACACGAATGGCTGGCTGTGTGTCTGTGTGTCTGAGTGTGTGTGTGTGTCTGTGTGCCTGTAGTCGAGTCACCTGGTGGTGGATACTCGGCACGCCGCCCGTGGGGTATGCGTACGCCGGACCATACACAGGCACGGTCGTCGGCACCTGCTGAGAATGACCACACACACACGCGACTGGAGATGTATCCCTTCACACCCGCCAGCTGCTTTACCCTCACATACCGTACATACCGGTGTGAGCAACACGGCGGGTGGTGGCTGCGACGCAGGTCCTCCTCCATACACGGCGCGGTTCATCGCGTGGATGGACTGCGAGTAGCTCGGGTCGTAGTACATCCTGTCTTCGTCGATGCTTCTTGCTGCTTGTCCTTGCTCAGTCAGGAATCAATCACCAGCCTTCAACACGGTCTTCTCCCTGCTGACCGACCGAGGGACAAACACACACAGGGAAGATCTGACGCGATAGCATTCAGCAAATCGAGGTCTTTGCTGACCTCTGAACCACAGAATGCTCTCAATCCAGTGCGTTTGCTCTTTGAGAGACGCCCAATCCCGCGTGTTTTACGGGCGTCCCAAGAAGCTAAGCTCGCTGAGGATGACAACCCTGCCCTGGAAGAAGATGAAGAAGATCGGGTGGCATATGAGCAGCAGATGAGCATTTGAAGGCGCCGGAACCAAAATGGACGGAGATGCCCCACCACATGGGGAGAAAGGCAGGTCATCGCTGGGCTTCCGACAGCTGTTCCCGCCGTTTGTCCAGGTGAGGGAGCATCACATCAGGGAACGATAGGGAACGATGAACGGGTTTGGTTTGCGGATTGCGTGTGTTGCGTGGCGTGGATGCAGCGTTATTTCACTCGGCTGTACTGCCTGGACGCGGCGGGATGCCCCGGAGAGGACCACTATGTCCTCCAACACGTCAACCAGTGAGTGAGCCAACCACACACAGCCACGGACACAGACGCCGGCGTGGTTCTCCCGCATTAACACTTGTGACTGAATTGCATTGCATGCAGCCTGTTGGTGGTCGGCCTGGCGCCCTCCCATCCTCTCGTGGCCGCTCAGCCGCCGCCAGGTGGGGGGCAGCTTCGGCTTCGCTTCACCGAGGAGGCGCTGGCGTCACAAGTGTCGGGCAAACGCAAACGTACGCACACACACAGCAGACGGCCGCAAGAGGATGTGTGGATGCGTGGCTTGTCGGACCTGGTCTGTCTGCGTGCAGGCGGGAGTCTTTCTCTGAAGCCCGAGACGACAATCTGTGTGTGTGAAGTCGACTCGCCTTCTGATGCTGATGGCACCCGACACGTCCTGTCCTATGACATCCGCGCATGTGTCAACGGTGGGCACTCTACTGGCACACGTGTGAATGCTCTCAATGGCTCCCATCCTGCGTGTCGTGATGTGATGTGCTGTCTTGGTTGTGGTGGGTGCAGGCGATTTGGTGGAGGTCAACGAGCGGCTTGTCGACAACCCCCTGCTGCTGTGGGACGAAAGGGTCAGCGGCACACACCACACCATCTGAAGATTAATTCAGACAGACACACGCGTGGCTGCATGCATGCATCCCTCCATGTGTACGTGTCTGTGTGTGCGTGTGTATGTCCGTCAGCAAGAGGGCGAAGGCTGGGTGGCCATCATCAAAGCATCCCAGGTCGCCGAATGTTTGCATTCATTCCTCCGTACACACAAGGTTGAATGTCTGCATGGTTGGTGCTTTGTGTGCAGCGTGCGACTCGGCACCTGGTCACGTCTGCAGAGTACCAGAGGCGACGGGCGGCCGACATGAACGAGTGACGCGACAGACACCCGAACGGACGCAGCGGTGTGTGTGCACTGTGCACTGTACAGTGGCGGATGCATAGGGCACTTGCCTGTGACTGTCTGCCTGCCTGCCTGTGTCTGTCTGCCTGCCTGCCTGTGTCTGTCTGCCTCATATCGAGTCGACCATGAAGGGTATTCTTTTCCACTGAGTGACGGGAGCTTTTGTACGTATGGGTGGAACTACTGAGCCCCCAATGATTCGCTGTCGGCCGGTCGGGCGGCCATGCGTGGTGCCGATTCTGGAGTGCCTCCAGGAGGTGTGCGTGAGAAAGGCAGCGGGGGACCACCCCCTCGCCCACCTTTCTCACACACTCTTCCTGGAGCCGCAGCAATTGGGCCCATGAGAGACATGAGAGACCCGCGCCGGCGCAACTGATGGATGGATGCTCATAAACTGTCTGTCTGCAATGACTGGTTGGCTGCGTGAGTGTGTGGACGTACAGCGTGCGTGTGGGTGTTCCTTCCCTGTGTGCCGGCTGACGTAGCTCCTCTGCTGTGATCCATCTCATCAGCAGAGGCGGTACCGTGGCTGGCGCTCACCGGGGGAACCCTTGCACACATACACTGTCAGAGTTAGTGCTTTGTGAGAGAAAAAAGGGGTGCTGACTTCTTGCATACATCTACGGAGACTGAGGATTGATTCATCAACGCACCACGCATACACACCATCTCGTCCACACATTCATCCATCCATCCATCCATGAACCTATACACAGCCCACCACCCACCCACCCACCCACCCCCTCACACACAGACACATATTCACGGCCAGCAGCCTCATTCACACATAATTAATGTACACACATAAGAGTTGGTCAGTCACTTGCGCATTTGCTGGTCGCCGTGCAGCGGCGCCACTGCCGGCTCGTCGAATGGCGCCACCGGCAGCACCGCCAGCAGACAGCAATCGGCGGGGGAACGCTCCTGCCACAAGGGAAGCTGCAAAGGGCAGACAGACAGGGCACACGGCATCCACTCAACAGGCAGGATTCGTGTGTGCTTCAATCAGCTTACGGTGTCGGTGACGGTGTTGTCTTGTGCCGTCCGTATAGCCGTCACAAGGGGGCTGATGGGCTGGTTGGTGGATTGGTTGACACACACACACACACACACAAACAGACATGTAGGAGATGTACGTTTTGGTGTAAGTACCTCATAGTCATCGCCGCTGTCCTCTGTTGGGCCCACGTGTATTCCCGCGCCTCTGCCCTCCTCATCGGCACCATCAGCCTGATGGATTGATTGATTCATGTGTGTGTTCCGCATACACACAGACACCGTCAGCAGAGAAACAGACAGACAACATCCTCCCTCCCTCCCGGCCGTGAGTGAGGTCGCCCACCCACCGGTGTGAAGACGTCGTCGTCGTGCCGCCCGTCCTCGTCCACCTGCACCAACGGAGACTGACACACACACACACACAGACATGAACGGAAGGATTGATGCGCAGCATGTATATGTGTGCGTGTGGCTGCTGGTGGGTCAGCGAGGTCCTGTCAGTCACCTGGAAGCCGGGGTTTGGGTCGGTGAGGGGCGACTGGAAACTGCTCGTGTTGCACCCATCGTACGCTGCATCGCATCAACCATCCACACCATCCACACCCACATTGCTTTGCCAGACCGCGTCAGTGGACCCGTGGGCAGATATGTGTGTGAGTGCTTACACATAGGTGTGTGGAAGGGCAAGCCACCAGCAGCAGCAGCAGCAGGAGCGCCCAGGAGCCTGTCTGGCGTCCTGCTGCCACCGTCGTCACCTTCGCTGCACATCTGCTGCTGCTGGTGGTGGTGCTCAATCAGTGCCGGATGCGACGGCCGTGCGAAGAGGGCCACCGAGTGGATGTGATGCGCCATCCTCTTGGCGCTGTGCACTAAGGGGAGGCCGTCCAGCTGACACAGACAGGAGGTGCAGGGATGTGTCCCCTGTGTGTGTAAGGGTGGTGTCAAGGGTTGCCTGAATGTCTTGTGCGCCCCACTCCTCTCTGGGCGGCTGGACGAGCACGTCGTGCGGCATTTCGGCCTTGAGGACCGCCTGCTGCCGACCAACAACACCACGGCCATACTCAACCGTCACCCTGCACGACACGAGACACACACAATGAATGACATACACATGAGTGGATGGATGGGTGGATGGGCGAGGCGAGTGGAGCGAACAGGTGTGTGTTGACCTGACTGACCTGTAGATGATGTGTGTGCCTGAGTCGTAGACCTCCTGGTACACCTGGGTGGTCCCCCACTCAGACACGGGCAGCTCACACAACAACTGCTCACTCAGGTACTGAACACAACACAACCAACACACACGCACACGCACATACACACACATGTGTGGCGGTGATGATGACCTCGTTCTTGTGCGATATGGCGGCTCGGATGATGGTGCTCGTGTCGTGGACGGTGTCCAAACCCAACACCACACCACGCATCAACAAAGGCCGGTCGCTGCACACACACACACACACACACACAGAAAGAGACATAGAATGCATTTGTCGGCTCACCGTTGGTTGAAGTACTCTCTGTTTTGGCTGGTGATCATAGACCGGTCCTCCTCCACACACGTGAACCGCCACACCACCGACGTGCACACCGCCTCAGCCAGCGTCATGTAACACGCCATATACACACGCTCATGGGGCAACGAGCGCCGCGTCAAATACAAACACCCCTGGGGGGGCAACAGAAAAAGTGAAGTGCGATTCATGCCGTCAGTCGACCCACCCATCCATCCATCCATCCATCAGTTGCTGACCTCTGGTGTGCCTGGGTGTGTAAGCAAATTTATTTCGACGTGCGCGAACCACACGGATGAGATGTCGGCCTTCTCCTGCAGATGGTGGGGCAGCTGGGAGGGGGACGGCTCACACGTGAAGATGGAAGTCGGGGGCATGCTCTTGGTCCTCTGCGAAACACACACACACACATGGATGGATGGATGGATTGACAGATGGTGTGTTACGTGCCTGGAGTGCGGTGAGGTTGTCTTTGACGGCCATGGCGGCCTCCCACGCCACATGGCCCTTGAACAACACACGCTGCTCCCCCTGGGCACACACGCCACAACACACCCACACCCATACATCCACTCGTGCGTGTGTGGGTCTTGTCCGCTTCACTCACGGTGTGGTAGGCGCCCGTGTGTGGGTTTCTGGCCATATATCTCAGGGCGGCAGGCGCCGTGGCTGCGATGTTGTAGGGGACAGACAGACCACCGTGCGGCGAAGCACACTCGGACACATAGAGAGCCTGCAGATGCACTGACGTATCCCTGCACTCGTATGTATCGTGACACAGAACGGACACCCCACCGTCAGTCATGTGTACTGTTTTGTCAATCAATGGTGTGTGTGTGCGTGTGTGTACCGTCCGAGCAGTGAGTGTTGAGAGTACCCCAGTGTGAGTGTTGCGGGCTGCCGCCAGTTGTTGAAGGCCACCTCCGACAGGAGCTGCACGCGCAGAGGCCGGCGGGTGGCCCCAGACGACCGCGCTATCACATCCGCATACACATCACGACCTGCACCCCATCCAATCCACAACAACACACCCATCAGTCAATCAATCACTCTTCCATCCATCCATCCATCGTATGTCATCGCCTCCTGACCTCTGTGGTCGGCCAGGACGAAATCGACCACCACGTCTGTGCCAGTGAGCGGCCCCAGTGCCCCTCCGTCCCCCTCCTCGTCCATTGGCACCTCCTCACACCCATCCGTCAAAACAGACAGCTGCGGCACCAGGTAGTACCGCCCCCGCCCCTCCACACAGGCGTAGAACGACAGGTACAGCCCACTTCGCCACCCACATCCAGACCCGTTGCTGGTGCCCTTGTCTGGGTGGTGGTCGATGGACGCCGTCTGTGTCTGTGTCTGTGTCTGTGTGTGCGTGGCGGGAGATGCGCCTCTGAAGTTGACGGCAAAGACGCACACGCCAGGCGGTGGGAGGGAGGGGTGGGGCGGGTGCTTGGGGAGGCTCACACACACTCGGCCTGCGACGGTCAGGGACGTTTGGGCCGGCCGGGAGTAGTCCTTAGCGTGATAGATGCTGCATGCACACATACCACACACACGCACGAACACCAAACAAGGCTAAAGGCATTGATTTAATGGATCTCCACTCTATTTATTGTGGATTCATCTTCAAGTCAGTCTTCAGCTCACATGGATCCCTCATCGGGGTCTGCGTGTGAGTGCGCGCATGGAATCTGGAGGCCCTGCGGAGAGATGGTCTGCTTGCCGCCCTTGAACGGTGCCCTGCCGTCGTGCTTGAAGTTGTAGCTGAGGGTGAGGTGGCCCGACAAGGGGTTGAGGAGCTCCGGGAAGTCGTCTGGCGGGCGGGCAAGGCACAGGTTGATCTCGCACAGGCTGCTGCACTTCTGGCCCATCTCACTCAATCATGATTCATCAGCCGATGCATTCAATCTGTTGAGTAATGGCGTCTGCACCAAGCACACACACAGACAACCAGGGAGAGAGTGATGGCTGCAGTACTCTCGTGTGTGTGTGTGTGTGTGTGTGTGTGGTTGACCTGTGCGGCGACTGTCGTGCTTTCGGCGGCGCGAAACAGAGTGACCGTCAGCCGTTGACGTGACGTTGGAATCGTGGCTGCGTGGCGTCAGAGCAGTAGACCATGACGGATCCAAGTACCTCTCCGTTCTCTGCGGGCTCCCAAGTGTGGGTGGAGCACCCGCACGACGCATGGGTGCCGGGGAGGGTCATTTCCGTCAAGTAAGGGCACCAGGCAGCAACGCAGGACGTCCCTGATGCATGGCGATGCTGATGCGTGTGATCTGTGTGGTCTTTTGACAGTGAGGAGGGCAACTTTGTGGTGGTCACTGACGATGGCGAGAGATTCATTGTGCCGCCCGGCAAGTCCAGCCAGGTACGCCAGCACCACGCCCATATGGATGGATGGCTAATGCATGCTGATCTCTCATTCTGGGGTTCTTTCTGCGTCTGTGTCTGTGTCTGTGTGTGTGTTGTGTGTTTGGGTGTTGTGTGTGCAGGTGCACCGTTCCTGTCTGTCCGGCGTGGAGGATCTGCTCTCCCTGGGTGACTTCACCGAGGGTGCCCTGCTGCACAACATCCGGGTCCGCTACGGCAAGGACATGATCTACACCGCCATCGGCATGCCCATACTCATTTCCGTCAACCCATACCAAAACCTCCCCGGACTCTACGACTCGAAAGCCATCAAAAAATATCGCAAAGCGGCCGGCAATGCCAACAACAGCGGCGCCGGCAGCAGCACCAGCAGTAGCAGCCTGTCGGGCTCCTCCCTCCCCCCGCACCTGTACTCGATGGCGCAGCAGGCCTACCAGACGTTGCTTCGCGATCGCAAGGCGCAGAGCATCATCATCTCCGGGGAGAGCGGGGCGGGCAAGACGGAGGCCACCAAGATCATCCTGCGGTATCTGGCCAACATCCAGCGCGACCTGGACCATGAGTGCGACGCGGCCATACTCGAGGGAATGCCACACGGACACAGCGTCGAACAACAGGCAAGTGGGTCGAGGGGTCGATGGATGGATGGGTGGATGGATGGATGGGTATGGGTGGGTATGGGTGTCTTCTCTCCTCTGTGTGTGGCGGTTGGCTGTTGGTTGTGCCTGCAGGTGCTGCAATCTAATCCGGTGCTGGAGGCGTTTGGCAACGCCAAGACGCTCCGCAACGACAATAGCAGCCGGTTCGGCAAGTTCATCGAGATACAGTTCGACAACGGCGGCAAACTCACCTCGGCGCGCATTTCCAACTACCTCCTCGAAAAATCACGGTCAGTCGACCATAGCACACCACACCCATGACACCTCTCCCCTCCCTCCCTCTCTCTGTCTCTCTGTGTGTGTCTGTGTGTCAGTATAGTGACGCAGCAGGAGAGCGAGCGCAACTACCACATATTCTACCAGCTGTGCAAGACGCTCGACGCCATCGCCACAACCGACCCCTCCTACCCCGACCTGGCCGAGCGGCTGCAGGCGGCGTGTCAAATCGACTGGCCGCAGTTCGCATCGCACGTGGCCGTCGGGGGGCCGCAGCACTTCGCTTACACAGCCACCTGCACCGATGTGGCCGGTAAGTATGTGTCTATGGGAGGGGAGACTCAGAGAGAGAGAGACAGCATCCTACAGTCTGTCTGTGTGTGTGTGTGTGTGTGTGTGTGTTGCAGGCAAGGATGACGTGTTGGAGTTTGTCGAGACGGTGGAGTGCATGGAGGGGCTGAGCTTCACTGCCGACGAGAAATACAACGCACTCAGGACAGTAGCCGGTCACTCAGCACACATAGACAGAGGAGCGAGAGAGAGAGAGAGAGAGATGTGTGTGTGTTATAGGTATATTGCACATGGGTAACGTTGAGTTTGAGTCTGGCGGCAGCTCGCAGCCTGAGGGAGCACACGTCACCAACACTGACGTACTCCAGAAGGCGGCGAGCCTCTTGCAACTAGGTAGGCCCCCCCACACACACACACAGACACACACAGACACACAGAGGCATGCGTGCGTCCGTATATGTGTGTACATATGTCTGCAGATGCGCAGTCGATCGCCAGTGTCTTTCGCTCCAAGACCATCAAGGACCCCATGACCAAACAGGTGGGTGGGTGAAGAACCACCTCTTCCCTTCACGGCCGTCCGTATGTTGTCTGTCTGTCGGTCTGCCTGCCCGCAGGACATACTGATGGCTCGGACGGTTGAGGATGCGCAGTATGCGCGGGACTCGCTCGTCAAGGCCCTCTACTCGCGGCTGTTCGATTGGCTCGTCAAACGCATCAACACGGCCATCTCCAGGCACACACAGACACAGACACAGAGGGGGGGAGAGAGAGGGAGAGAGAGGGAGATGGACGTGTGTGTGTGTGTGTGTGTGTAGGGGTTTCCGTGACGACGGTGCGTTGAAGATCGGTTTGTTGGACATCTACGGGTTTGAGGTGTTTGACGTCAACTCCTTCGAGCAGCTGTGCATCAACTTCGCAAACGAGAAACTCCAGCAGCACTTCAACCAACACCTCTTCAGATCTGAACAGGTAGGTCACCCACTCACTCACTCACTCACATGCCCACTCAACCATACCACACCACACCGCCCAAGAGGCATCTCATCTGTGTGTCGTCCGTCTATCAGGAGGAGTACACTTCGGAGGGTGTGGATTGGAAGCACATCGACTGGCGGGACAACCAACCCATCATAGACGCACTCGAGGGCAGGTAAGTAAGGTACACAAGGAAGAAAGGAGGATGGATACACACATATGCGCATGAGTGAGTGAGTGGCTGTGTGTGCATCATGCAATGCAATGCAGGCCGATGGGTGTGTTCCCTCTTCTGGACTCGGAGTGTCTGATGCCGCAGGGCAGCGACCGCACGCTCATCAACAAGATACACCAAAATACGGCCAACGAATACCCCACAGTCATCCATAAGGTAAGTAGGTACCTGGGTCAATGAATGACCCCCGCCCTTGTCTCATGGCTTGTGCTGTGCTGTGCTGTTGTGGTTGGTGCATTGCATTGATTTGTCCATCCAGTCCGATCCGCGCAAGACTCTCGAGTTCCGTGTCAACCACTACGCCGCCCGAGTCGAGTACACCGTCGACGGTTTCACAGACAAAAACAAGGACCCGCTGGACAAGGACATCATCGCACTGCTGGCCACGTCCAACGTACCCCTCATCGCAGAGGTCAGTCAGCCAGTACCACATCCCCCCAACACACCACATCCCATGTGTATCTATCTGTACTCTGTGGGTGTGGTTTGTGGCCAGCTGTTCACGGTCAAGGAGCCCATCATCCGTGTGCCTGCTCGTGGTGCCCCCAAGAAGGGCGCGGCGCCAACCAGACAGGAGCAAGCCGCCGGAGGGGGGAGATCCATGTCGGTCGGCGAAAACTTCAGGTAGGTCATGTGCAGAGGAATGGGAAGCAGGAGGCCATGACACGCGAATGGATGTGCGCGTGTCTCGGTGTGTGTGTGCAGGCGTCAGCTGCAGGGTTTGGTTGACATCTTGAAGCACACCAATCCGTCCTTCGTGCGGTGCATCAAACCCAACAGCGAGAAGGCCATACACCAATTCGACTCGAAGGACGCACTCAGGTCGGGAGGTCACACGACACACACACCACAACAATGGCCATTTTCGGGTATGTATGCGTTGTGTACGTCCGTTGTGTCTACAGGCAGTTGAACTGCGCGGGCATGTTGGAGGCGATTCGCATTCGGCGGGCGGGCTACCCAGTCAGGCGCAACTTCAAAGAGTTCTACCAACGATTCAAGTAAGCCGTCACACAACACAACACAACACAAGCCACAAACGCCTCTCTGTGCATTGCATTGCCTCCATCCATGCATCATCAATCAGGATACTGGACCCCGGCATGATCGACAACCCTCGCGACAACGTCGACTTCACTGCCTGCTGTCGCCAAATGCTCCCCAGCATCGAGGCGCAGCTCAACCAGGCCGGATACCACCTCCCACCCCTCTGCTGGCAAGTGGGCCAAACCAAGGTCGGTCAGTCAGACATCTCACACAACGAACGGCACACATGAGGCAATAGGACACGCACCCAATACATTCTTGTTGGGCACGTGCTGGCAGATCTTCATGAAGGAGGAGTTGCAGAGTGCGTTGGAGCGGGCCCTGTCGGCGGCCACGCGCAAGTACGTCCTCACGATCCAGAAGAACTACCGCCGCTTCGCCGCCCGCCTGGCATACCGACGCAAACTCGACGGCCTCAAACGCATTCAGGCAGCATTCCGCGCAGTCATCGCAAGGTACGCACTCACAATCACACCAGGTGGCCGTGACATGGTGGATCTTGCGTGTGCAGACAGCAGTTTGTGCAGCAGTGCAAGCGCGAGAAGGCCATCATCCAGATACAGAGCGTCTTTCGAAGCGTCGCCGCACGGGCCAGGTTCAAGGTACATCCCAAACAACCCCCTCCGGTGCACAAGCCTCTTGTCGGTCTGCCTTTTTGTCTGCTGCAGTTGCTCCACTCGAGTGCTGTCAAGTGCCAGTCGATCGTGCGTGGCCACCTCACCCGCAAGGAGATCGGCCGTCTGAAGGGCAAGCGGGCCCGGGAGAACATCGAGCGGAAGCGGCAGGAGGACGAACGGAGACGGCAGCACCAGATCACACAAAAAGAGGTTGGGGCGGGGTGAATCTCAACCACCTGCACGGATGGATGGAGGATGGTTCCCATCATTCAGAATGAGGAGTTGCGTCTGCGTGCTGAGGAGGCCCGGAAGAAACAGGAGGAGGATCGCATCCGGCAGGAGGTCAGTCAATGCAATGAGTGCGGTCAATCACCTATGGCCACATCTCACTTTGCCTCCCATTTGCCCCACACAGGAGGCTGAGGCGGCCCGGCGTGTGGCTGAGGAGGCTCAGAAGAAGGAACAGATGCTACAGGTCACACCACCATGCAACATACGACAGAAACGATTGATTCATTTCCCCGATGAGCATTCATTTACTCATTGATGTATGTATTCAGATGACTGAGGGTCTGCAGAAGGAGTTGGAGAGCGAGAGGGCCGAGCGGGCCCGGATGCAATATCAACTCGAGGCCCTCAGGAAACAGATGGAGGAGGAAAGAGACAACGCCAAAGCACAAGAGGTCAACCACACAGCACATCAATGGTCGCATGGATGACTCGGGTGTGTGTGTGTGCGTGTGTGTGATAGTCTCATGCGCGTCACGAGTTGGAGGATGACAACCGGCGTTTGCGTCAGAGGGCCGCGCAGCTGGAGCTCGAGGTCGAAACAGCCGCTTGGGACGGACAGAAGGTACAGAGAGAGACACTGATGGTAGATACGAGTGTAGGGGCTTTGAAGTCACCAAGCGTCCCCACTCACTCAGGCTGCTGAGATGGACCAGCTGCGCAACGAAAACCAGCGCCTCAGGTGCAAACATACCTGTATAGGTCGGTCTCTCTTTCACTCGTTTCGTTTCTCGGTCTGCTCTGCGTGTCTCCCGCTCAGGATCGACCTCACGCAGGCCGAGAGCGACCTCCGGGTGTGTGCGTGTGGCGGCCTGCATCCAGCACGCATCATGGATGTCTTCTTGTGTGTGTGTGTGTGTGTGCAGTACCACCAGGAGGAGTTGTCTGAGCTGCGCAACAGTGCGGTGGAGTTGGAGGCAGCCAAGAGCGACAACCTCCGCAAGACCATCGAATACGACACCCTCAAGGCCAAGTACGCACATGCCGACGGCACAAGGCATCCGCTGGTGCATCCATCATCCATTCTGCCTGCTGTCGTCAGATCTGAAGAGGAGCTGAAGAAACTGCGGGCAGAAGTGGACACGGTAAGTCGTTGGGTGGCAGGCAGCCATGCATTCGAATCTGTCCATTCATCCACTTGCGGCTGTGAGTGTGTCAGCTTCGGTCTGACAAGCGTCGTCTGGAGAGTGACCTCGAGAGCACAGCATACCGAGAGGAGACACTCAGAAACAAACTCAAAGACCTCAAAGACAAAGATGTAACCTGCCGACCCCTAAACCACACCACACACACTTATACAGAGCTGGGTGTGGCTCAATCCATGCATGCTGCGGTGTGTTTGTTGTATTGTTGCAGGTGCAAGTTGAGAAGCTCAAGGGCGACAAGTTCAGACTCGAGACCGACCTGCAGACACTTCAAGTCCGGGAGGCTCACGCACAGGTCAGCCAGTCATCTGCCCACGCACGACAGCTCTCTTGCCCTCTATTGCCCTCATGCCCTCCACCCATTCATTGTCTGCAGAAGATGATCCAGCAGCTGCGCGAGAAGGAGTCGCGCCGCCAGGAGGGCCAGCAGCGCCGCACCACATCCACCGACGCAGCTGTCGAGGAGCCGTCTGACAGCGAGCTGCAGCAGCAGCAGCAGCCACGTGGCACCCTGGACTCGAGCAACGTGACGGTGCGGACGATGCAGGAGCTTATCCGGAAGGGCAAACTCACAGGCCCCATGCCCCCGCTGCCGGAAGCACACGCAGCCGACAGTCGAGGCGAGCCGACCGGAGCTGAGGAGGAGCAGCCATCACCTGCGCCAGAGGTGAGGTGAGGTGAGGTGAGGTGGAGAGAGCAGGCGTATGTGTGTTGTGTTGCTGTTTGGTTCTCCATCAGATGTATTCTGCCGATGAGTATCACCGCGTGTCGTCACAGATGCAGCATCTCGAAAAGGACAGAGATAAGCTCTTCCAGCAGGTATATATAATGCGATTACACGAGTGCAAGCCACAGAGACAGACACCCTGTGTATGCGTCTCTGGCTGTCGCACATGCGTCAGAACTCTGGTCTTCGGTTTGAGCTCAAGGAGGTGCAGGAGCGGTGCGTCACCCTCGAGAGCGAAACCGCACGGGTGCGCTGACACAATCACATCACAACGGGGGGCAGATGAGACACACATTGGTGGATGTCTCATCCATCCATCCATCCATCTGTCTATTCATCCTATCTATCCGTACGTCAGCTGCGGAAGCAGCTGGACCGTTTCAGCAACGTGGAGGCCATACAGGACGAACTCTCAAAAAGCAAAGTGGTGAGTGAGTAACTATCCTCCACGTCTCTTCCCCACGCATCGCCCAATCTGTGTGTGTCCTGCAGGCTGTGAGTCAGACGACTGCCCTCCTGCAGGAGAGCCAGGCCCGCGAGGAGAGTCTCCAGACCAGACTCACCGAGAAGCTGCAGGAACTGCAGACAGTCCAGGTCAGTCAGTGGCCGGGGGCGGACTGACGGAAACATACCTGTGTGCAACCAGCACAGCGGCCCTCTATGTGTGTTAGGATGAGGAGTTGGAGTATCAGCGCCGCGTGACTCAGCTGCAGAACCAGTTGGCGGAGTTGCAGGACAGTGCCGACGACACACAGGCCGCACTTGAGGAGAAGGACAGACGTATACAGGACATGGAGCAACAAATCAAGGTGACGTTTCCGACCGCTCTGATGCCAAACGCACTCTTTTGATGAATGTGCGGTGCGTGGTGTGTGCAGCGTCTGGCGGACGAGAAGGCCACGCTCGAGGCCGAGCACGAGGTGCGTGCAGATTCATCCACATCAATCCAATCAGGTGTATATCAATGGTTGTCACGTCACTGGATTGATGGTTGCAGTTTGGCGGGGCCAGCGCGTCACAACGGGACCAGGACCTCCAGGCGGAAAAGGCACGGTAAATCAGTCGCGACACGGAATGAAGGAAGGCACCCATGCTGCAGAGAGACACCACACCCGTTGTCTGTCTCTGCCCTGTATGTGTGTCAGTGTTGAGCATGAGCTACAGCAGTACCGTGAGGTGGTCAAGAGTCTGCAGGAGGGGGGCGAGAAGTTGGTGCAGGAGCACCACCAGCTCGTCACCTTCCACAACAGCCTGCGAGAGGCCTACAGCCAAACCAACAAAGACCTAGACGCAACCAAACAACACCTCGATGTACTTACTGTACACAACACACACCCAGCCCAGCCAGGCATTCAATTCACATCACACTGCTTCGTGTGTGGGCTGTGTGGGCTGTGTGCGCAGACGGCCAGGCAGGACGTCAAGGCCAAAGTGGAGATGATCGGCACCCTCAACACAACCATCGTAACTAACGCAAGACAGAGAAAGACGCAACGATGGTCTCTCTGGTCTGTGTCATTCGATGGATGCGATGCACGTCTTCACTGGATGCAGTCTCGTTTGAACACCAACGTAGCCGAGGAGCGTATGAAGGCCCGCACCGCACAGGACCAGTACCTCGCCGCACGAGGGGAGAGAGAACAGCTCGAGAAAATCGTAAGCCCTCATATACCTCATAAAGTGGTTCACTCATTCACTCACCACACACACGCCCTCCATCTGATTGACACATGGATGTGGGCAGCTGGCGGCCACCCGTGCTGAGTTGGAGAGTGAGCGACGGCGCAATGCTGACGTCTACAGGTCACTCGTGTCACAGAGGCCGCCAGGCACACACACGCCCCCGCCAGGCGGCAGCCATCCCGAGGGCCCGCTGTCCGCCCCCATGTCGATGCAGCACACACGCGGCAGGAGCAGGCTGGACCAGCACCAGCAGCAGCAGGCGGAGAGTGAGCAGATGCCGCCGGGTGACATGTATGAGCATCAGGGAGGGAGGGGGCTGTGGGAGGCAAGGAGACACGAGGGGCCCTACAGATAGATAACCGACCTTTTGGGCTGGTGAGCAAGTGGCCTTTTTTTGTTTATCTGTGTATCTGTGCGCGTGCTGTTGGATGATTGGATGGAATGTTGCTGTTCGATGACTTTGATTGCAATCAAACTCTCAGTCTGTATGCATGTCTGCTCGCATCTCACGCCTCGATCGCACCGCACATACGACACCCAAGGCAACACACCACAACATGCATGTCAGTCATTACACGCAAAAACGCGGCCGGCTCCACTCGTCAATCAATCCGTCAAGTCACAAAACGTGCCGCATCCCGCCATCAACACATCAACATGGCTCACGCCAACCCACGACCACACCCCCACCCCCTCTCTCGGCCTGGCCTAAGGCCGCTCCACGGCAGCAGGCGTCTTCTCCCCCTCCCTCTCCCCCTCTGTCGGCTGTTGCTGCTCCTTCTGCTCGATGCCATTCGCCCGCCCATTGACGGGCTCCTGCTCAGCTGCGGCGAGCACCTCCCTGTCGAACTCGTTCCTGATGGCATAGATGTCGGCCAGCGCATTGCGCTCCGCATCGCTGAGTTCGGGGTGCCAGAAGTCGACGATGAGGACGAAGCGGCCGTGCTGCGTGGGGTTGCCCGTCTCGTGCTCGAAGGACGTGTCGAACACACACACCTTGTTCTCTCGCCACTCACGCCTCTCCTCACCCACACGCATCCAGCAGCCCTCAGGCACCTGCAGACCCAGATGCGCCGTCAGGATGAAATTCCTGCACGCCACGCCCCCACACCGACACACAGATCGACACACATGAGGCTGAGAAGAATTGCGTATGGCGCGATGCACATACTCACCTTCCGTCTGAGTGTGGCTGCACGCCGCTGCCGGCCCTCTGTCGCGCAATCATGACGCCCCTCATGGCGATAGGGATGCCCAGATCGGCGAGCAGCGCAGAGGTGCGCGGGAACTTCTGCCGGTTGTCCTCTATCCACTCGCCGAACCGCTGCAGCCGAAAAGCAGACCACCCCGCGCCCATCGTCTGCGCCATTGCAGAGTTGGCCGCGAATCGGTACTCGCGCGGCTGGTCGAGGGCACTCCTGAGCTCCTCTTGGATGACGGGCGACTGCCGCTCGAGCTGAGCTGTCCACGGGAAGTCAGCTGGGTCCCACCATGGTTGGGCGGTGAGGCGCGGCACAAACTCCTCTGATGGGCAGTGGAGTGTGGCGGCGACGGGGGGCTGCAGGTTGCCGTTGCAGTAGTCAATGAAGTCATAGATCCGCCGGATCTCGCGGAAGCGATACCTGCTGCGCAAAGTCTGGCATTCATCGCCAACAAACACATGGAAAGAAGGTGCGGATTGGCTGGCGTGATATCCATATGCTCTGTGCAGGGCTGGCCTTGTTTGTCACCTGTTCGACCCGTTCCCAGAACATCTCTTTCCGCGTCCGCTTCGGCTGTTGGAAGAGGTTGAAGAGCATGCGGGCGGTCCGCCGCGATGAAAGCCGCTGGCACGAGGACGGTGAAAGCGATGGCAGCAGAGACCGCAGGGGCGGGCAGGGGATGAAAGAGGCTGCATTGGCTGCATTTGCAGGCCGACCCGCTCTCGACAAGCGCAGCACAGATGCAGATGAGGAGACGAGGATGGAGATAAAGACGGCGATTGCTCGTGCTGCCTTGGGCAGCCCGTCATACGACACTAACATAGCATACAGCAAGGTCACAGACCAGATGCTGACAACCTTGGAAGCGTTTGAGCTCGCAAACGCAAAGGGTGCTCCCTGAAGGTGGTGAAGATGGCACAAGAGGCTGAAGAGATGGCGTGACTTTTGCGGAGATCCACGCTTGATCCGACGAAGTCTACGCCTCCCCAGCAGTAGGACATACAGAGGCAACAGCACCCCGACGGCACCCCGACGGCACTCCGACGGCCGCAGCCCTGTTCGGCAGCTGAGAGCAGGGCCTGCAGTAATGATCAAGGCGCTCGTTGCGTCTGCGGTGGGGTGTCTGTCTGGCGCCTGCCTTCCTGTCGTGTGGGCGACAGCACTGGCGATGAGCCGGACGATGGGCAGTGTTGTGTGGGCAGCGGCAACCATACAAGGTCGGTCAGTTGGCAAGCACACACAAACTGTTCGTGTGTCACACACATTGCCGCCCGCATGACATGATGCAGGTGTGGTGTGCATCTTGATGTTGCTGGCTGCCATCCCGACTCTGCGGCTGAGTCACACGGTGGCTGCCGTGGCGGGGCTGCGTCGGTCGCCGGGCAAGGTCTTCATGCTTCTGACGAGTGGACTGATCGGCTGGGCCCATTTTGTGCTGCCGATGGTCGTCCTGCCTGTGGTGGGCCTCGACCTCACTCTCATCACTGCAACGGCCGGCGCGGTGAGCGAGTGGAGCGGACGAGAGAAAAGTCAAAGTCACATATATATGCATTGATTGATGAATCGAATGTGCGTGTTCACCTTGTTATTCTTGGCAGGCCCTGCTGTTCCTGCTTCTGGACAACTGCGGCTTCCTTCCCTCGGTGACCATACCCCAGTCGCCGTTCCGACTGGTGAGCGTCATTCTCGTCGTTGTGGGGCTCGTCATGGCGGTAGGGGGAGGGAAGAACCCCCTGGCCTGGCTCCCCTACCTCATCCGCGGCTCCCTGGCCGTACTCCTCGGCGGCCTCATGCCCATCCACGCGGCATTGCACCGAGTGGCCACCAGTGCCCTCGGCTCCCCCTGGCTGGCCGGCGCCCTCTCGTGCATGATCAGCCTGATTGTGGTCGCTTCGTATCGGCTGGTGCAGCAGCACCAGCTGGCTTCTGACTGGCCCGCGGTGTTGCAGCTGGTAGGCCCTTTGGGTGTGGTGGTGCTGGTGGCGTCGTGGCTGCATCTGCCGCGGAAAATCGGGCACGGCGCGTGTGCATGCTTGCACACCTGGCGGGCAGCGTCGTCCCGTGTGCTCTCATCCAGACACACGGATGGATGGGGGTCCGCCCGCACCATCTCGGCGGGCTCACGTGGGCAGCTCTCGTCGTCCAGCTGGGCGGCTTGGCACTGCTGGTTTATCTCGATGGCCGGCGGGATGCACTGGTGGAGGCCAAGAGGAGGGCGGCTGGGCCTCTGCAGAAGTGTCGATGTCGCTGGCATTGTGACACTTTCGACGATCTTGATCTGGACGACGACGACGGCCCTTCAGCTGAAGGGGAAGACCGTCCACCACCACCACCAGCAGACACAGACATCGAGATGGGTGCCTCCCCCAAGCCCCACCCCTCCTGCCGCTGCCGATGACGCGACCGAGCAGTCTCCATCTTCTTCGACTGATTCGCCTGCCCATGAGGACACAAGGAGGTCATCCCACGCCAGCACCGTCGACACATTCGACACATGTGTGGAGACTGACAGGGACAGGGAGAGGGAGACACCCACCGCCGTCAGCAAGGCCGTGCTGTGCGAAGAGCTGGCGAGCGAGTCGCCGCCCACCTTTGGGGGCGCCGACGGGATCTCTCTTGCCGACTTGTCTGGGGACGAGTTTCAAGACGATGACGACAATGTCATTATTGAGGAGCTTGGGCGGCTGGCTGCTGAGCAGGCGGGGCGCGTGAGTGGGCGTGGGGGTTGGCGGCCAGGGGGTGTGATGTTGGGCCTTGACGAAGACGCAGTGAGCTTCAAGACGGCCGTCATGAGGCACTGCGGCTGACTGGGCGGTATGAAGGTCTCTTGCTTGCTGTCTGTGCGTAAACTAGACAAGGTGTGTGTGTGTGTGTGTGTTTGTGATAGTGAGGTGTCTGTCATGTATTCATCGTTCGTTCATGTGATAAAGTGAGGTTGGTTGGCCCGCATGGCTCTCCGCGCCTGACATGGCGTGAGGAAGGAAGGTATTTTTGCCTGCCATCCATGACGCACAGAGAGGAAGGAAGCAGGGAAGGAAGAGGTCTGCCTGTTTGTTTACATGTGTGTGTGCGTAAGCTGGTCCTCGTGCTTTTAATGTGAGTGCGTGAGCAGGTAAGCCGGTGTGTATCTCGTCTTGTCTTGTCTTGGCGCTTTTTCTGCATGCTTCGCTGTCCGTTCAGCCAAAGAGCCGCACAGCAGTGCATCCAATCCACCACACAGGGGGGGAGAGGGGGGAGGGCGGGAGTTGCCTGGTGTCCTGTCTGTCTGGTGTTGTTGCTCCCCATTCATGGCTCGTGTGATTGAGAACGACAGGTGAAGGTGAATGACTCAAGGGAGGATGACTGTGCATGCCATGCTACAACTGAAGCAACACATTCATTTCATGCATACAAGTCATTCATTACTCAAACTGTCGTTGATTTCCCCAGTCTGACATACTGGTCCCCGTCGTTGATTTGAATGTGTTCATCTGTCTGTCGGGCGGTCTGCGAGTGTCAGTCGTGTGATTCTCCCGTTGAGTGCTCGGGACACCCTGTCTGCTGTACACCAGGACGTCCACAACAGACAAGGTGCCCAAAGCACTCTTGAAAGAACCACACATGGACACAAGACACTCACGCGTTCGTGTGCAGATACATGTGCATGACGCCAGTGGCCCTCTCTGGGCCATCGGTCTTGGTGTCGTTGCTTTCCCACCCTTTGAGCTCGAGCAGGCCACGCTGTCGCACGCTCACTGATCGGCGAGCGAACGACGACATGTACCACCCGTACTCGAAGGAAGGACAAGGCAACGACAAACACACACACAATACCTCTCCTCTCTCTTGGCCCTCGTACAAAGACAGTTAGTACATATCACAGGCTGGCCCGGCCCGCCAAAGACGATCGACAATCTTATCATCAATAAAGCATCAATCAGCCTCTCCACTCACTCATGGCATGGATGCACACCACACATGCAAGCATCATGTGCAACAGTCCCTCCCTCCCTCCCTCCCTCCCGAAACATATAGTGAATGCGATGGACGGCACGGCCTCCCAAGAGACGCTCCCTGTCTGTCACGTCTGTCGTTGGTTGGTTGGTTGGTAGGTTGGTCAGAAGACGGGCGAGAGGGGTCTGTTGAATCCGCCCTTCCGGTTCATGTACTGCCTGTACTTGCGCTTGGTCCTCTTGTTGACCCCGCCGAGGTCTGACTTGCTGTGGTCCTTGCCCTTGCTCGTGTCGAAGTTGCCGAAACCCATCAGCTTCTGCATCAGCTGCTCCTCCGTCAAGTCGCCGTCCTTGTCCTCATCGTCATCCGACGCATCATCGTCACTGTCCTGTAAGTAACCACACACATCACATCCATCCACAGCCACACTCGTGCATCCATGTGTTGTCTGTCTCTCGCCGGCCGCTGACTTTGTTTTTCTTTTTCTTTTTGGCGTCGTCACCATCGCTGTCGATTGACATGTCATCATCGCTTTTGTGGCGCTTGGGCTTGACCGGTTTCTTGGACGTCGATGCATTGGCATTGGTAGTGGGTTTTTTGGGCGAGTCGCGGCGCCGGTCCTTCCGGTCGCGCCGGTCGTCATCGTCGTCGTCATCATCGCTGTCGTGGCGACGCTTACGCTTCCTGTCCTCATCTGATGGATGGGCAAACACACCGACACACACAGAGCGTTTGGTTGGTGAGAGTGTGTGTGTGTGTGTGTGGTGCCCTCCCTGCTGTGCGTACCTCTGTTGTATCTGTCGTCGTCTCGGTCGTCGTCATCGTCCCTCCGGCCACGCCTGAATGACAAAAGCGGTCGCAGAAGTAGGTACGTAACATTCTTACACCCAGACGGGTATGCACACCTGTATGAGTCCCTATCCCGATCTCGCCTGTCTCTGTCCCTGTCACGGTCTCTGTCCCTGTCCCTGCATGGGTGAAACCATCCACACACAGGGCAATGAAGGCTCTTCTAGGTGGTGCTTCGTGGTGCTCACCTCCGTCTGTCTACGTCCCTGTCGTCGTAGTCTCGGTCACGCCGGCGGTCATCCCTGTCCCTATCCCTGTCCCTGACAACGCACACACACACACACACGCGCGCATCAATAATCTCATCCATCCTCCCTGTCTGGTAGTGCTGTGCTGTCTGGGCGTGGCTGCTCACTCACCGGTCCCTGTCCCTGTCCCGGTCGTAATCCCGATCTCTGACGGAAGGACACATACATATGTGTGTCAGATCTATCAATCCACCCAGCCACCCACCCACGCACAGACACATACCTGTATCTGTCGGTTCTTCGGCGGTCATCGTCTCTGTCCCTGTCACGCCCTCTGTCCCTGTCCCGCCGCCTGTCGTGGTAGTCGTCATCGTCCCGCCGCCTCTCCCTCTCTCTGTCCCTGTCCCTCGAATCATCATCATCGTCTCGCTCGCGCTTGCCCCTGTCGTCGTCACGCCGCCTGTCGTCCCGCGAATCACCTCTTTCACGATCTCGCCGGTAATCACGGTCACCCTCGGGGCGGGACATCGTGCCACAGTGAAATATAGCGGCAGAAACGCGGCCAAAGCGATTGCTTTCTGCGAGCTAAACTTGCAGAGGAGATGTGTGCTGCATGTTCCGTGTCGTGTATCCATGCAACACGCCATGCGTCGTACCTAAAACAGCCGACCTATTCAGTGACTAGATCCCTCCCTGACCTGTACGTATAAAAACTCTGCTGCACACCCGACCTTCTCTACTCACCCACCCACCCACCCACCCACCCGTCCGTCCGTCCGTCCGTCCGTCAGTCAGTCATCGGCCACCCGCTTCCACCAGAAGACGAACCAGAACGTGAGATTGGCGATCACTAGTGCACTGACCACTTTCACGGATGCGTCGACTGTGGTTGCCAGAACAAGCAGAAGAAGCTGGACGCCCCAGACCAAAAAACCGCCAACGGCCGAGCCCAGACACATGCAGTCTGCATCCCGCACACTCACATCCCGCAGCCTGAGCGGTTTCTGTTGTTCTCCTGCGGCTGCCTTTCTCCGGCTGTTCTCGAGCAGCTGTACATCCGGCGGCAGGTCACCTGAGGGATTGATTGATTGATATCACAGACACACACAAATGGGTCCGTGTGCGTGTCTGTTTGTCCATGCGCATCCATCCATCCATCCATCCACCCACCCATCCCATGCAGCCATCGCTACTTACGGTCTCTGGGGATGGTGTCGGCCCCTGGGATAAGCTTGTTCCACGAGTACATAACACTGGACGCCAGCAGTGCGATCACGGCGAGCCGAGGAGCCGCGGCAACGGCGTCCACCTCGACCTCGACGCTCGCCAACTTGGACACGATATCCGGACCACTCATCGATCTGCACACGCACACACATACGGACTTCATTACACAAACACAATACAGCCTCGTCCATTACCTGACGTCAACGGCGTCTGCGAGGTAGAGGAGCTCCACGTAGATCCCGAGCAGGAACGATCCAATGCCAGCAAAGGCGATATCCCGCTGGCTGAGATGCTTGTACAAGTTGAATCCTCCTCCCGCACTCAGCACGGTCACCGGCATTTCCCCAGGTGACGTCGGTGTGGGCTGCGGTGCACGGTGGGATGGCCCTGGGTGTGTCAGTGGGATGGGCGCTGTGTGTGTCAGTCGGACGGGCCGGACGAAGGCGGCCGAGGACGGCAGCGGTGACAGGCCGACGGACAGAATGAGCAGCACAATGGGCAGCCTGCAGACAGACAATGTACGCAATTGATGCGGCCACACACACATGTGCGTTTGTATCAATTGCATTTGTCTGTGACACGCACACACGCACCTCCACACAGACGCCATCGATCTGTCTGTCCAGCTGCTTGACCACTCAGCGGGCCTCTGAGAGGGCAGACAAGCCGCCGGCTGCTTGTCTTGTCGACGCAATCAAGCCCTACACGCAGCACAGAAACCAGAGATACACACGTCATGTGCACGAAACGCTGCATGCCGGCGCATACCCTCAGAACAGCCACGCACGATGGGGCGCCCGAGCGTCGCCAACACGTGCGGCGGGACGAAAAAGCAAAAGAAAAAGCGAAAGCGGATCTTCGGCCCACTCCCCTTGCGGGTTTGGTTTGGTTTGGTTATTGTGTTTAGCGGTTTGACGCGCCACCTGTTCTAATGCAGGGTTCCAAACCCTGCGAGCTTAGACGTGCAAGGGGGAGGCGCCACGCACAGATCAGCAAGGCCACCGACCATCAGAAGGCTCTTCTCGCTCAGATCCCTGCTGTCTGTCTGTGTGTCCGGTGCGTGTGCACTGCAGGAGCTCCCGTCGTCCCTCGAGGGGAGTCCATCTCACAGCTGGGTGCACTCACTACGTGCTCGAGCCGTGCGGTCTGAACTCACCGCAGCTGCATCGCATCCACGTGACGTGCGGCCGAGATCGTCTACGTCATCTCGGGAGGAGTGAGTTGGAGATGGGATTCGTGGAGGAGAACGGCCCCTCGCCGCGCGTCATCAACAACACCCTCAAGGCGGGCAAGTCCATGTTGGTCCCAGAAGGCCTCCTGCACTCACTGGCAGTACAACAGGGGCTGCAAGCCGGTGGAGTTCATCTCTTCAACCTTCAACAAATAGTGAGGACCCTGGCTGGTGTGCTGACTGTCGCCTTTCGGCTGCTGTCCATTCCCACCAACGAACGCCTTGGCAACCACACTCGGCGTCAGGCAGAGAGAGGCGGTGCGGCTCGATTCTGACTGACCAGAACCAGGGCGCTGGCTGCACCGGCCATGGGCGGATACATACGAGTGCCTCAAGAGATATATGCGGCATCGGTAGGCTAGGCGGGCAGAAAGAGAAAGAGCGAGGCGATTCATTCGCGAGCCGGGTGGTGTTGTCTGATCTGATCGGTGTGTGTTCTTGCTTGTCGTGTGTGTGTGTGACCGATCAGATCTTGGGGAGCAGTTGTGCAAGGGCTGCCTACTCATGCGGCGATGGCCAGCGGTGTGTGCATGGTGAAGTTCAACCAGCCTGAGCGTGTGTGCGCGCCAAAATACGTCCGTCCGCCGCGCATCGCTCGACGGGCAAATGCGTCAAGAGAAGTACTGTAAGTGCGACGAGGGAGAAGACCACACACACACATACGTATAGACAGTTGACTCAACTGTGCACTGACGGCTGCTCTGTCTTTGGTGCAGACTTTTCTTCCTGAAATAAATAAGTGAATGATGACATGACGATAGCCAGCTCGATCAGCTGTATTTATTGTCTTTCTCTCGGCCGTAGTCCGGGCGGTTTGCATTGGTCCAGCTGTGTTTGCGGACTGTGAGTGTGCGGCCGGTGTGGTCTTCATTCATTCACGAACACACGTTAATTGCGGTGGACAGACACGCCATGGCCAGTCAGTCGTGTGACGCATGTCCGTCCCTTCCTTGCCTTTGATACGTACATACGTGTGAGTAGGTAGAGTGCATGGGTCTGTCTGTGACCTTGATGGATGGAAAGGGCAATTAAGGGTCCATGTGGTGTGCACAGATCGAAGGGATTGCTTGTTTGTTGAGAGGTGCATGGACTGACTGTGAGTGAAGACCCAACCTGGTCTCCTCTTTGCCAGAAGGCCTAGGTTGTACTGTATGTGCAGCAGATCGATGGGAGGCGCCATTGGGGTGGCTGACGACCACTCCATCCTTAATTGCAGTGCAACTTCACTGCAGTATGAAGACGCGCCAGAATCAGATGCGGGCTGCCTGTGGGCAGACTTGACATGGACAGCTTGAGGACAATGATGAAAAGGAGAGGGTGGCGTTACCAACAAGGAGCGCTTCAGAAAAAAACACGCGAGCTTGTGGCGAGAATCGCGGCGAGGATTTGAATTCTCGCCGTCTCGAGACGGCTTTTTCAAGAAAAGGAAGCATCGGACAGTTTCCACGCCAGCTGTCCTCTTTCCCACTGTTCGCCTCACATCTCCTTCGTTTCTTCTCATTTTTCGGCGGGAGAGGTCGGTCGCCACCCGCCCGAGGCCCACACATCCCCCGCTGCTCGCCGTTTGCGCAGAGGACGAGTCCACCTGACCACCCCTGACCGTCCGCCCGTCAGGCGCTGACATCAGCCTGAGCCTCCCTCCTCCCTTGGTGAGTGGTCGTTGGCTTGTGTGGTGTGCCGCGAGTGCCTCAGCCGGTTGCTGGCGCCCTTTCTTCTGCTGAATGGGTGGAGACTACCTGACACCTGTCTGGCGTCAGCTGAGTGCCGGGACGCCTTCTTTTGTCTTCAAACTCAAACATCTTTTCAGGTGAGTCCACGTGTCATATCTCTTTTTCTTTTGGTTGGCTGCGGTGGTCGATATGTGGTGGATGATATTCGAGGATTACTGCGTGGTCCGTTTCATTGCTGTGGTGATGTCACTGTGCCCTGTCGGCATGCTTGTGTGCAGATGATGGAAGTTTGATTCTTTCTCCTGATGGCCGTGCTTTTGACAGAATGCACTGTCTCTCTCGAGGTAAGTCAGTCAGTCCCCCACACACGCATCGACAGAGGTATCGACAGAGGTGTGCTCACGGCGTTTTGGTTGCTGCGCGTGTCTGTCTATGATGTGTTCAGGGCGCGAGTCATTCGATCGCTGGATGGATGGATGACCGTTGGCTCTCACACCTACCTTAACTACCAATCTCGACGGCAGGACCGAACAAGTGCAGGGACCTACGCGCGGCTCACCTCTACTTACATCAAGTAAGCAGGAAGCCACCCACCCATGCGCAGAGGATGCATAATACACCCACACACACACTGACATGTTTCTGCTTCAGACTTGGAGGTGTGGCTGAAGAGAAGGCCTCATCAACACCCGGAGCACCACTGACTGATGCCGATCGTCTGTCGGTAATCAAGGGCAGATGGCGGTTTTAGGCAGTGTATCACATACGTGTAAGCTAACAAGAGACGGAGAGACCAAACACAAGCGAATGTCGACAAATTGAATGTCGAGGTGTGTTTGTGTGTGTGTGTGTGTGGTTCAGGGCCACCTGTTTATCACTGCTGGCTGGCTGGATGGATGGATGGTTGGATGATCGCTGCCTACATTTTACATTTGGACGGGTGTGCACGGCGGGTTACAATGTCGGTGCCCTCCTCTCTCTGCCCCCGGACATTGTAACCCGCCTTTTTTTTACTGCACCCCAGTCTTCTGTTTAAAACGCGGGAAGTCTTGTGTCTTGTGTCTTGTCTCTCTCTTTCCTTCTTGGTCACGACACATCGACCCATTCATTGACTGACAGGTGAGTGGAGAGGGGGGAGAGGAGAGGAGAGCCACACACAGACAGACAGAGACACACTTGAAGGCGCAAACGTATGAACGAACATGTGTGTGTGTGTGTGTGTGTGTGGTTCAGGGCCACCTCTTTATCACTGCTGGATGGATGGATGTATAGATGGTCGGCGAGCCTGAGTGTGGGGAGTCGGGTCTTTGTGTAGTTGTCACGGCGTTCATTCGTACCGGACTAAGAAGATCAGATGGCCGTGGATTTGACAGAATGCATTGCCCCTCTCGCGGTAAGTCAGTCAGTCAGTCCCTCACACAGGCATTCATTCGTCGACAGAGGTGTGCTCACTCACTCACGGCGTTTTGGTTGGTTGGTTGCTGGCTGCGTGTGTCTGTCTGTCTGTCTGTCTATGGTGTGTTCAGGGCGCGAGTCACTCGATCCATCGATGGGGGGATGGAGGATGTGCTTTCTCCTGATCGATCGCTGCCTACATTTTATATTCTTGGAGTAATGTGTGCACCCCCTCTCTCAGCGGCTGGCCTTTCCGCCGCGAGAGAGGGGTTTTTTTTCACACAACTCCAGTCTCTTCAATTATTTACAACGCGGGAAGTCTTGTCTCTTGTCCCTTTCCTTCTTGGTCACGACACATCGACCCATTCATTGACTGACAGGTGAGTGGAGAGGGGGGAGAGGAGAAGAGAGCCACACACAGACAGACAGAGACACACTTGAAGGCGCAAACGTGTGAACGAACATGTGTGTGTGTGTGTGTGTGGTTCAGGGCCACCTCTTCATCACTGCTGGATGGATGGATGGATAGATGGTCGGCGAGCCTGAGTGTGGGGAGTCGGGTCTTTGTGTAGTTGTCGTCACGGCGTTCATTCGTACCGGACTAAGAAGATCAGATGGCCGTGGATTTGACAGAATGCATTGCCCCTCTCGCGGTAAGTCAGTCAGTCCCTCACACAGGCATTCATTCGTCGACAGAGGTGTGCTCACTCACTCACGGCGTTTTGGTTGGTTGGTTGCTGGCTGCGTGTGTCTGTCTGTCTGTCTGTCTATGGTGTGTTCAGGGCGCGAGTCACTCGATCCATCGATGGGGGGATGGAGGATGTGCTTTCTCCTGATCGATCGCTGCCTACATTTTATATTCTTGGAGTAATGTGTGCACCCCCTCTCTCAGCGGCTGGCCTTTCCGCCGCGAGAGAGGGGTTTTTTTTCACACAACTCCAGTCTCTTCAATTATTTACAACGCGGGAAGTCTTGTCTCTTGTCCCTTTCCTTCTTGGTCACGACACATCGACCCATTCATTGACTGACAGGTTGAGTGGAGAGGGGGGAGAGGAGAGGAGAGCCACACACAGACAGACAGAGACACACTTGAAGGCGCAAACGTATGAACGAACGTGTGTGTGTGTGTGTGTGGTTCAGGGCCACCTGCTTATCACTGCTGGCTGGTTGGATGGATGGTTGGATGGATGGTTGGATGGATGGTTGGATGATCGCTGCCTACATTTTATATCCGGACGGGTGTGCACGGCGAATTACAATGTCGGTGCCCTCCTCTCTCTGCCCCCGGACATTGTAACCCGCCTTTTTTTTACTGCACCCCAGTCTTCTGTTTAAAACGCGGGAAGTCTTGTGTCTTGTGTCTTGTCTCTCTCTTTCC